AAAAAAAAACCTCGCGGTTGTCGTATTGATAAAAACACTTGACAGGAAAAATTGAAGACAGCCGCCTTCATAATCGTAATTAATATTGATCGATTTGGTCGATTTCATTATCCAGCAACTCCAGGCGAAAAATCGAGGACGGGCTGGCCTGGGGGGAGGAAGAGGGGGGAAGGTCGTCGCTGTTCTGTTTCGGAGTTAATCAAGTCTTTAAGAGGCGAGAAAGGGGCGGGGCGAAGTGAATGAGTTGGCCCCGCTCGCCACTGAAATGCTTTTAAGACGTCATCGGCGAGGGATTTCTTTGCGGTGGAAGGGCGGTGCTGGAGGTCCTGGAGGTCCTGGAGGTCCTGGAGGTCCAGGAGATCGGCCGGGCATTGCCAGTGGCCGCGAGAGTTTCGCCGGGCATTGCCAGTGGCCGCGAGACTTTCGCCGGGCTGGCAAGTGGCCGCGAGACTTTCGCCGGCCTTGCAAGTGGCCGCGAGACTTTCGCCGGCCTGGCAAGTGGCCGCGAGACTTTCGCCGGCCTGGCAAGTGGCCGCGAGACTTTCGCCGGCCTGGCAAGTGGCCGCGAGACTTTCGCCGGCCTGGCAAGTGGCCGCGAGACTTTCGCCGGCCTTCCAAGTGGCCGCGAGACTTTCGCCGGCCTGGCAAGTGGCCGCGAGACTTTCGCCGGCCTGGCAAGTGGCCGCGAGACTTTCGCCGGCCTGGCAAGTGGCCGCGAGACTTTCGCCGGCCTTGCAAGTGGCCGCGAGACTTTCGCCGGCCTGGCAAGTGGCCGCGAGACTTTCGCCGGCCTGGCAAGTGGCCGCGAGACTTTCGCCGGCCTGGCAAGTGGCCGCGAGACTTTCGCCGGCCTGCCAAGTGGCCGCGAGACTTTCGCCGGCCTTGCAAGTGGCCGCGAGACTTTCGCCGGCCTTGCAAGTGGCCGCGAGACTTTCGCCGGCCTGGCAAGTGGCCGCGAGACTTTCGCCGGCCTGGCAAGTGGCCGCGAGACTTTCGCCGGGCTTGCGTTAATTACCGTACATTACCATTTTTACCGGTATATCACTTGCTCTTACAACCCTGGAGCCCGAAGGGCGTCTGGAGTTTTGACCGCCCCCACCGGTCTTCTGGCAAATCCACTGTGGCACGAGGGCCACCGTCACCCTGCAGGCTTTACGTGTGGAGGCGGCAGCTAACACGCCGTGCGGCCTCTTCTTCGTAAATCAAGCGATGCTTAATTTGGGTCTTAATTGGTGCTGCCCAAAGTGCGCCGTGCCTCACAATGAAATTCCGTCGAGACGCATCCCCTCCCCCTGTCCAGCGCCCTGGAGCCTCCAGCCACGCTCCAGCCGGGGCAGTAAGTGTCGGCCGCTGTCGGCGCTCACTTTTAACGCTTTACAGTGAGGCGGCATCGCCACTCGCGAGCTCGTAAACTTCAACGTGTCAAATATTTTTCGCGTCCGTCACAAGTTTGCGACCCGTTTAAAGTGCTCGCGCTGGCACGCCGCGAGCGGCAGCGGGCCAGCGACGTGCTGGGTTCAAATACCGGCAAAGAAGTTTTTTTTGTTGAGGCCATGACGAACACTGCCTCACCGCCTCCACCGGTCTTCTGTCCCACTGTTCGGCGTGTGAGGTCCCAGATAGGCCAGACATGTGCCTTTGTGGGCCTGCCGGGCCTGCCGTGCCCGCCCGCCGGACTCACGGCGGGGGCACTGTTTGGGCCACTCAACGTGTGTGGATGGGACGGGACGCCCCGAGGCCGAATAGTGGCCCCACCCTTTATTTCCAGACAGGCGGTCCGGAGTTTACCGTCTCGACCAGACTTGCGGAGAGAGCGAGAGAGAGAGAGAGACGGCCGCCCAGAGAGGGAGGGAGAGAGAGGTGGCGGAGAGCGCCTGATTATCCGAGGGTCATCCATCGTACTTAGCAGCGCAGGAATCTCTCACAAAGGCAGACGGTGTGAGAGAGAGGGGAGGTGTGGGGGGGGGAGGGGGGAGGGGCCGTGGAACGCCAGGAATGGGCGTGGACTTGGTGAGGAACTCTTTGACAAGTAGCACAAGTTTGAGGGGAGCCAACCCAAGGCATTTCCAAGCCCCTCAAGATGGCATAATGGTTCGCGGGTAGTGCTGGAGCGGGCCTGGGGCCTGTCCCTGGCCTGTCCCACAGTTGGCCAGAAGACCGGTGGAGGCGGTCAGAATCCCGGACGCGTTTTGAGCTCCAGAGTCGCTAAATGGGACTCGAATCGAACGTGTGACCCCACCAATGGATTGCTCTCCGAACGAGGAATCCATTATTGGTGCCAGCCGTTCAAAAAGATCCCAACGCGAGACCTAGTCGCGCGGCTAGACAAGGTCTTACAGTGGCGGGGCGATTGGCCTAGCCGTGCGATACATGTCCTTACAGGCTAAGTGGCGCGAGGCGCGTGTGTGCGAGAGAGAGGGGGGGGGGGGGGTAGCGACCGAGGGAAGGTCATGACTCCAGCCCATGCGAGGCAGCGACGACTGCGACGACTTGGCGACGACAACGACAATGGCTCTGCTGCTTGCGACTGCCAACACACTGTCTGAAAGAAGGAGCACTCTGATGATTTTCGTAAACCGCCTCGCTTTCTAGTTACGGTCCATTTTCCTAATATACTACTGACTCCGGCGCATTTGAGGTCGATTTGACTTTTTTTCTGGCGGTGGGTTCTTAATTTTATCTGCAGAACTATATGTGTAAAACTGAAACCAAATGGAAAGAAGCGTAACGGCAATAGAACTCTTTTTTTTTAATGCAACAAGTTGAACAAACTATGCTTGCGAAAGAGCGGCTTAGATCGCCGCCCGAGGGAACCCGACGCTGTTAATTTGAGCGTGCAAATACTTCCCGCGCAAATAAATATTTCCCTCTTTCGGCCCCCGCGCTATTTGCTTTCAAATTGAGCCGCTAGAACAAGGAGCGGTGGCGCGCGCCGGCCAGTCGCTCCGTCTCCGTCGCACAGTGGGCCAGAAGACCGGTGGAGGCGGCCAAAACTCCGGACGCGTTTTGAGCTCCAGAGTCGCTAAACAGGACTCGAACTGAACGTGTGACCCCACCGATGGATTGCTCTCCGAACGAGGAATCCATTGGTGGGGTCACACGTTCAGTTCGAGTCCTGTTTAGCGACTCTGGAGCTCAAAACGCGTTTCGGCCGCCTCCACCGGTCCTCTGGCCCACTGTGCGCAGGGCCGCAGACGAGACGATGTTTGCTCGCGTTCGCGTCCAAGATGCGGGGCAATGCGGAGCGGACGGTCCGAGACGCCAGCGAAGCAAGCGAAGCCTCGCGCTGTCTGAATTCGCGGTGCCGCCTTTTCGTGTTGACAGTGGCGTGGTTTTCTTCTCTACCGAACTCTTTTTTTTTTCTCTCTCTCTTTCTCCTTCCCCCCCACTCCCACTGCCCTGGGCAAGCGCCACAAGGTCCTTAGAGCAGGTTCATTTTGTCCTAATTCAGTCTCTCTTCATAAATTACTCTGTCGTGTGACTGACGCTTCCCCCCCCCCCCCCTCTTCGCTTCCTGCACTGCGCGCTGCACCGCAGGCAGTTCATTTTAATTATTATTTTTTAAAAAATATATATATTTAAAAATAAAGGGTGGGAATTACACCGGGCAGTTTTATCGGAACGGCTAAAAATGTCTGGTCACTACATTGTGTGTGTGTGTGTGTGTGTGTGTGTGTGTGTGTGTGTGTGTGTGTGTGTGTGACGTAGATGGGCTCTCCCTCCCGGGTGAGAGAGACACGGGCGGCTCGGTTTGCTTTTAGCTTGCTTTTAGCTTATTGCCCCGGGTCAGTGTCCTGCCTGGACGGCCTGGACAACGACTGGAGACTCCTGGAGGCGGCCTCCAGTCCTCCAGGAGCAGTGGAGGTCCACATGCAGATCGCAGCCTGGCCGAGCCTGGCTCCAGTACAGTGCACTGCAGTGTTGACACCAGGGTCTCTGCCAACAGCTCGGCATTATTCATTTCGAGAGACGCGTGAAAAGTCGTGTTGGGGGCGATTCTCCCACACCCTGAAAGGCCGTGAGGCGTTTAGAGTGCCGAGACATGGTGGGACTTCAGCCCCTCTGTTTCCTGCTGCCTGGCCGGGCAGGCAGGCAGGCAGGCAGGCAGACCAGATGCCCCCATTACCCCGATTACTCCCCCTTGACTAGGCTTTCGATAGCGATTTAAGCCGTGTGCTCAAGCCCCGGTACTGATCCCGCATGCTTCTCCCCTTCCAACCATCCAGGCGCCATCCCCTCAAGCACACTGTTAGGCCCCCGCGCGGGGCCCCCGCCTTTCTAGTCGTGGCTACCGCCTCCGGCACTCCGGGGTCGCTGACTCGCGTCGCGTGCCCCAGCTGGACCCTCCAGGTTTTGTCGCTCCAACAGGACTCGAACCGAACGTGTGACCCCACCAATGGACTCCTCGTTCGGAGAGCAATCCATTGGTGGGGTTCGAGTCCCATGTAGCGACTCTGGAGCCCAAAACGCGTCTAGAGTTTTGGCCGCCCCACCGGTCTTCTGGCCCACTGCGCGGGGGCCAGCTCCTCGCCGGACACCTCGGCGAACAGGGATTATGAAGCGGTGACCTTGACTGCGGCGCTGCGAGCCTGGCGCGTGTTTACGGGGTTGACATTGCTTGGAGATGGCTGGCGTTAGACAAGGACAAGTTTAGCCTATGGCCGGGCCTATGGCCGGGCCTATGCTTTTGCCTCTGGCCTTTTGCCTTTGGCTCTGCAGCCGTCTGATAAGCGTCGGGCAGTCCGGCCAAGCCCACTGGCCGCCAACAACCTCGCCTCAAGGACGAGCCAGATCCTGCAGTCCAGTCCAGCGTTTTGAGCTCCAGAGTCGCTAAATGGGCCTCGAAAAGAACGTGTGACCCCACCAATGGATCGCTCTCCGAACGAGGAATCCTTTGGTGGGGTCACACGTCCGGTTCGAGGCCTGTTTAGCGACTCTGGAGCTCTGCACGCGTCTTGGACCTGGCCCACTGTGTACTCAGCCACTCTGCGGCGTTGCAGGTGTCGTGGATCCGGAAGCGCGACCTGCACATCCTGACGGCGGGCGTGCTGACGTACACGTCGGACCAGCGCTTCACCGTCATCCGGCCCGACCGCTCCGAGAACTGGACGCTGCAGATCCGGTCGTCGCAGGGCAGGGACTCGGGCGTGTACGAGTGCCAGGTCAACACGGAGCCCAAGATGAGCCTGTCCTTCCAGCTCAACGTCATAGGTAAGCACAGGTGGACCAGACCATTTTTTAAAAAATATCATAATTCACGGTCTGGTGGAAATAGGCATCTAAACTCCGAATCGGCGCACCCTGGCGTATTAATATGAAGGAAAAGTCGAGATAGGATTTTTTTTAAATCCCCTTGCTGGTATTCGAACCCGCGGCGAAATCCTTTCCGGAATGCCTTTGAGATGACCGCGGAGTGGCGTGGTGGGGTGGGGTGGGATGGTGGGGGGGCGGGGCGTGGCGGGGTAGAGCCGAGCCCAGCAGCGCTCACTTTATTATAGAATTTCAAGCTCGGGGGCTAGGGGACAATTATTATATTGAAAATCGCACTTTCTTTGCATTAATATCGGTCGGGCGCGCCGCGCCGCGCCGCGCCGGGTCCTCCATCATGCCTATTGAAATAAGATTGAAGCCGCATCCTTTTGGCGGCCGGCGGCGCTGATGACCGGCCTCTCCAATAAACCGCTCTAGGGTTGCCAACCTCAGCACGCCTACCAGGCAACCTCGCGACAGCGAAGCCCAGATATTACCTCACAGGCACGGCAACCCTTTCCACATCGGCGCATCGGGGGATTGCCGCCTACTTGTGTGAGCAGCACAGTGGGCCAGAAGACCGGTGGAGGCGGCCAAAAACTCCAGACGCGTTTTGAGCTCCAGAGTCGCTGAGCAGGACTCGAACCGAACGTGTGACCCCACCAATGGATTGCTCTCCGAACGAGGAATCCATTGGTGGGGTCACACGCTTGATTCGAGTCCCATTTAGCGACTCTGGAGCTCAAAACGCGTCCAGAGTTTCGACCACCTCCACCGGTCTTCTGGCCCACTGTGCGGCGGGGCACTGCGGACACACCCCTCGCCCCAGTTCCGCCCTGCCGGCGATACTCCACGCGGCACACGCGTTAGCCCGCAAGTTGGCCCGCCTGGGCCGCCAAACGCGCGATCAAGCATATGTACGAGCAGTGTGGGGGCGTGGTGGCCAGGCTTGATTAAGCTGTGGGCGTGGCGGGGCGTGGCGGGGCGTGGCGGGGCGTTCTCTCTTTCCCCCTCTATCTATGCAGATGAGGCTCATTACCGTGATTGTGCGCGGATAATGGCGCTGGATACATAGGCCGCCCATCCCTGCCTGCTGCGACACGCCGGACAAGCAGACGACGAGCAGACGACAAGCAGACGCCAGAAAGGCTGCATCGGAGAGAGAGAGAGAGAGAGAGAGAGAGAGAGAGAGAGAGAGAGAGAGCATATCTTGCCACCGGCCGCCACCGGCACAGCGGGAGCGCGGCACAGCGGGGCCGTTTAAGCCCATTGCCTCTCCCTTAAAGGGACCATTAATTTAACAACGGCCCCCACGGCCCCACGGCCCCTCGGCCAGGTCCCTAGTGATGCCCAGTGGGGACGGCGTTCTCGACGGGGGGCGTGCGGGCGTGCTGTGGCGGGGCGGGGCGGGCGGGGCGGGGCGGGGCGGGGCGGGCGGGCGGGGCGGGGGGGCGGGGCGGGGGCGGTTCGCGAGATAAAAAGTGTCCTCGCGGCAGGACACACGGCTCCTCCTTTGACAAAGACGCCCCTCCTCCAATTAACCCTTTAAAAGGGCGAGGCGATGGTGCCGACGACCGGGGGCCTTTCTGGCTGCCAGCGCACCGCCTCGCCTCGGCCCCGCCCCGGCAGCGCCGCCGCGCCGCCTTGCTGCACAGTGCACAGTGGGCCAGAAGACAAAACTCTAGACGCGTTTTGAGCTCCAGAGTCGCTAAATGGGACTCGAACCGAACGTGTGACCCCACCAATGGATTCCTCGTTCCGAGAGCAATCCATTGGTGGGGTCACACGTTCGATTCGAGTCCCATTTAGCGACTCTGGAGCTCAAAACGCGTCTTGAATTTTGGCCGCCTCCACCGGTCTTATGGCCCACTGTGCAGTGGCAGGAATCCGTCGGAATACCGTGCCGGCCTGCCACTGCCTGCCACCGGCAGCGGCCCAGCGCTGCCCCGACCACTCTCGAAACCTTACCAACTATTTCAGGCGAAGCCAAGACTGGTCAGGATGTTGATTCAAAGGATTTTGAGCTCGGGAAGCACAGCAGGAGCTTCCAAAAAAATATCGGTAGTTTTACCTTGGCACTTGCTCAAAAGGCGTGGTGAGGTTTTCAAGCTGCTGAGGGCTGCCGGCCCAGTGCGACACGCTTCCCTCCCTCGGGCATCCTTGGACGTATCCCTGGACCGCGCCTGGAATCCAGGGAGTCCAGGACTCCTGGAAGCGGGGGCCGACCGCCGCTTCGATAGTCCCATCTTTTTACAACCGCCACTGACCTTGGCGTCGTATTTTTTTCTTCATCTTTTTTTCCTGTTCAGTGCCAGTCCAATTTGCCTGCTCAAAGGGGCATTGTAAGGGCCGGGGCAGGAGGGTGGCGGCAAGGGTGGCGGACAGAGAGGGGGAGAGAGAGAGAGAGGGAGAGAGAGAGAGAGAGAGAGAGAGAGAGAGAGAGAGAGAGAGAGAGAGAGAGAGAGAGAGAGAGGGGCGGACGAGGAAAAATATGAAATGTCCTCATTTCAAGCGCAGTTTTAACTCAGTCGGGTCTAATAGGTGTCCGCTATAGATTCCGGTCCGGGAATTCGGTCGACAGAGACAGAGAGAGAGAAGGGGGGGGAGCGAGGAGACAAGGAAGGGTGAGAGAAAGAGAGGCAACAATAATCGAGCTGTTAGGACCTCTAACGAAGTGTGAAGTAAGTGCAGGCAGGGCACCGTCACTACCCACCCCGAGACGTCGCTTCCTTTCAGAGTTTTCCGAGGAAACTTTGCTCCCCCATCCGCGGACAATCAAACGGAAATTTTCCGAACTGCACTGTGGGTGGATTCACCGCAGAGTAATTATTGGCGCCAAAATTCCTGCTCCTCGGATTTTTTTCTCATCTCCCCTCCCCCACCTCCTCGAGAAAGTAAGAAGACTAGGCGATGACGATGCGGATATAAACGGGACGGAAAAGGAATTTTAGGCATGAAGCAATGCTCCTTTTGTACACCCTGGCCCGCCCGGCCCACCCTCTCTCCTTCCTCTTTTGCTTATCACCGGAGGCCTGGCTGAGGGTCTGCGACGGGCTGCGGGGCTGCGACGGTCTACGGTGTGCGATGCACGTGACGCTGGGACACCGAGACTCATCATCGGGGGAGGGGGAGGGGGGGGAAGTGGTCCGAGGCATATTCGTCGCCTCGGGACGTCCGCCAAGATAGCGCGGCAGTGTGGCGGCAGCGTGCCGTGCACAGGGACACGATTAATTAAAGCTCCCGGAACTTGCCGCCCGCCCGGCCCGAGTCATTCCCAGTCACGGGCCCCCCAGTGGATTCGCCAGAAGGCCGGTGCAGGCGGTCCAAATCCCGGACGCGTTTTGAGCTCCAGAGTCGCTAAACAGGGCTCGAACCGAACGTGTGACCCCACCAATGGATTCCTCGTCCGGAGAGCAATCCATTGGTGGGGTCACACGTTCGGTTCGAGTCCCATTTAGCGACTCTGGAGCTCAAAACGCGTCTAGAGTTTCGCCCGGCTGCGACGGTCTTCTGCCCCGCTGCGGGCCGCTAGTTTTGGCAACCCCCCGCCTCTCCGGCACCGCGCGGCGGCACCGAACGCGCTTCCCGCCTCGCGTCAGATTTTTCATTTTTCCGGGTGCGGGAGGGAAAAATGTTGCTTCTGACGCGCCGCGACACGCTACTCTGGAGCCCGACGGGCCGGTGTATATCTCGTTAGAGAGAGAAAGGGGCGGGGCAGAGAGAAAGAGAGGAACGAATCGTTGGCTGTTTTTTATTGTTTTCATTTTTTCACGCGTGCTTTTTATGTGCGCTGGGATGTGTCGTGGCGTATGAGTACAGTAGTAGCCCTCGCTGCTGTACGTCCACATTTTGTGATTTTTTGTTTGATTTTGTTGTTGCTGTTGTTGACGGCGTTTCACTGTCTGCCCAGAATGGAAGGCGCAGATCCTGGGCTCCTCGGACCTGCACGTCAAGACGGGGTCGTCGGTGACGCTGACGTGCGTGCTGAGCCAGGGCCCCCACGACCTGGGCACGGTGCAGTGGTTCCGGAACGACGTGCTGCTGTCCAACATGCTGGCCGGCGACGTGCACCCCAACGCCCTGGACCCGGAGCCGCGGCTGCGCATCACGGTGGCCTGGACGGACGCGCTCACCTCCAAGCTGTACATCAGCTACGCCAAGCCCGCCGACTCGGGCAACTACACTTGCAAGCCCACCAGCCTGGCGGACTCGGCCAGCGTCAACGTGCACGTCATCAACGGTCAGTACTCGCAGTGGATGAGACCGGTGGACGCGGCCGAAACGCCAGACGCGTTTTGAGCTCCAGAGTCGCTAAACGGGACTCGAACCGAACGTGTGACCCCACCAATGGATTGCTCTCCGAACGAGGAATCCGTTGGTGGGGTCACATGCTCGGTTCGAGGCCCAGTTGGCGACTCTGGAGCTCAAAACGCGTCTGGAATTTCGGCCACCACACCCGAAAAACGTAAAAAAATAGAAGTCGAGGAAAGATTATGGCACCTGGGCACGCTCCGCCGAAGCGAGGACACTTCGCTTGGCGGCTGAAACGCGGCTAATTTAGAAGCACGGCCGTGGACCGGCCGCTTCTAAACTTAGTTCGTCCACACGCTGAATTTCTAAGCCCTCCCCCCCCCCCTCCCCCCTCGGGGGCCTCTAGGGGTGCGACCACATTGTGGAGTAAAGGCCTTACCCGCACGCCCGCACCCCGCACGCGCACCTGGACTTTACGTCGTGCAGGGGCGGGGGCGGGGGGTATCGGATATAAGCTGGGGGGGGGGGGCTCTGCAACCAATAATTCTTGCCGTGTCCGCCTGATTTAGATAGAAGAATGATGGTCCTCCCTCATCGAGGACGCTCGCTTTCGGTTTAAAATCTGCGAGTGGGAAGCGCGGCAGCGTGGTGTCGGCGGGTACACTGTGAAGCCGATCGGTTTTTCGCCAAGTTGGCTTGCAGGTCGCTCGGTGTGAAATCAGCAAGAAAATCAAAACTAAACTCATTGGGGGGTTTGTTTTACCAGTGTACAAGCGCACGCTGCGTCCACCCACCGCGCCCGCGTCACTGGGGTCGCCTAATATTTACCCGGTAGATGCCGCCGAGATGGGCCGGCCGGGTGTTTGACGCTCCTGGCCTTAGTTTCCGCAGAGCCGGGGGCCGGGGATCGAACCCACAACCCTCGGTTCCCGCCGGAAGACAAGGTGCAGGGCTGCAGGGTCAGGAAGGAGTGGAAAGAGGCAGAGAGCACCTTTCCTTTCGAGCTGCCGCTCCGAGCGAGCCCCGGTTTGTGTATCGCTTCCTGCGTAGCATGGCGTAGCATGGCGTAGCAGCCCTCTCTCTCCCTCCCTCTCTCCCCTCCCCCGCGCGGCATATTTGCACTTTACGATCACGGTAGGCCTGCCACCTGCGAGGCGCGGCGTCCGCCAAGTGGCACGAGGTGGCACGGTGGCACGAGGTGGCACGAGGTGGCACGGTGGCACGAAGCGGGCCGTGTGCGGGCAGACACGTCCTTCTCGCTCGCACCCGACGGCCAGCCAGCTATGGCTATCTCACTCGCTCCGCCTTCTTCTAGAGGACGCTGGGCTGGGTTGGGCTGCCCCTCGGGGGCGGGGCGGGCGGGGCGGGCAACCCTAGGCGGCCCTGGGCAACCTGGCCGCGCCAGCCCCGCGCCAGCCCGGCTACTTGAGGCTTATAACGGGGTTCGTACCCCGCATATCCTTGCCGCATCCCCCACCCCCTCCCCCTCTCCGATCATACGCGCCACCTCGCCGCACGCACCTTCGCCGTTTTATACCACGAGCAAACGGTGGTGGAGCCCCGCGCCCCCCCCCCCCCGCCCCGCCCCGCCCTGCTCCAGCGAGGCTGCGATCTCACTCCCCGGGCTGTGGGCGCCTCCAAGCAGTGGACAAACACGCACACACAGAAGCGCGCGCAGTTTTGGATCACTGCCTCTGTACGAGATGAATCCCGTTGTTTGCACGGTTAAAAAAAATAATTTCTTATTTTTTGGCGAGGGGCTGGGGTGCTTCTGGTCACTGGAGGCGCCACGGCCTGGCCTATCTGCATGTTGTTAGGCCCAGTTTTGGAATGGGTCTCGGCTTCTCCTTCCAGCCCCTCCAGGGGCCTTCCAAGGGCCTTCAAGGGCCTTCCAGGGGCCTTCCAGGAGTCTTCCAGTGGCCTCTCGAAGCCCTTCGCATATCTGCTGACCCCGTGGAAGCTCGCGAGGATGAGACTGCCGCGGTGAGGCAGAAACCGAAGTCTCTCTCTCTCTCTCTCGTCGTGCGGGCCGCCCCACGGGTGCAAGACAGAGCGACGGAGGTAGTTTGGCCGCACAGATTGTGCAGGCGTTAGAGATGAGGTACCGGCACCACACTGCAATTGTCCGCGAGCCAATCGGGAGAGAGAGAGAGAGAGAGAGAGAGAGAGAGAGAGAGAGAGAGAGAGAGAGAGAGAGAGAGAGAGAGAGTTGGGACAGGCAGGTAGCCCCCAGCAGCCACTTAGCAGGGTGTGGCGCGGGTTGCGCTATGATTATGCAACTCGGCCCCTGGCGATGTGTCACGAGTCCCTCCTCTCTCTCTCTCTCTCTCTCTCTCTCTCTCTCTCTCTCTTCCTCTCCTCTCGTCCTTCGCAGCCCCCCCCCCTCCGCCTCTTTCCCATGACACTGCAGACGCACCACGAATTGTGGTCAGGATATCGATTTTCCGCCACACTGGGCACGCCGATGCGCGGCGCCGCGCGTTGTGTAGGGGTGCCGCCCGGCACTAGAGCGGCCACCAAGGTGGCGGCAACCCAGCAAACTCGGGCAACTTCATTAGGAGTCCAGCTAAAAAAAAAGCGGTTGCTGCGACGGGGATTAGAACCCTTGATTGTTGCATCTGAGATGGCGGGGCGGTCGGGCGGGGCGGGGCGTGCCGAGTACGTTGGCTGTGATTGGAACACGCAGCGCATCTGCACGGACTGCACGCAACAACAACAACAACAACTGCAGCGGTCGGGCCCTTAATAATGTTGCGGGGCCATCGATGGACCAAAGCGAGTAATTAGATTCGCGTGGGATGAGCGGATTCCCTTCCGTGGGGGGGGGGGCACGCCAGGGGGTGGCCATAAATTCAGGATGGCTCGGTGCCCCTCGCCGGCGGGGCTGGGCTCGCCTGGGCTTGCCTTGGCACGATCTCTTGAGGTGAGGAGGTCGGTCGGCATGCCCTGGTCCTGCCGGTCCTGACGCGGCATCCCACAGTGGATTCGCCAGAAGACCGGCGGAGGCGGCCAAAACTCCAGACGCGTTTTGAGCTCCAGAGTCGCTGAACAGGACTCGAACCGAACGTGTGACCCCACCAATGGATTCCTCGTTCGGAGAGCAATCCATTGGTGGGGTCACACGTTCGGTTCAGACAGTCGGTCCTCTTCCGGGCAGACAAACGGCCGGACGGACGGCCCACTGGCTGGCAGAGAGTGCGTCTGCGACACTAATATAGCGTCTCTCCATCGGCCCCCCATTCATCATTCACCTGAACGCACCGCGCGGCACCGCGGCCCTCCTTGTCCCCGCGGGTCGCCTCGCCACGGACCCCCCCCCCCCCCTCGACATCCCTGACAAGCAGCCCCCCTCCCCCTTTCCCTTAAGTGGCGCGGAATATAAGCGCGGCTCATTTTTGGACAGTCACGCTGCACCCGGTTCGCGAGGTGCGGAGGCTCCTTGCGGAGAACTGCGGGCAGACAGGCAGACAGACAGACAGGCAGACAGACAGACAGACAGACAGACAGACAGGCAGACAGACAGGCAGACAGAGACGTTTGGGCAAGAAAAAAAGGGAGAACAGAGCGCCTTGGAGGTAGGCAAACACAGTTCGCGCGAGCACGCGTGTTGGCCGGTCTGCCGACCCTCACCCTCGCAGGGGCTCGGCCGCGCCACTGTCTGTGGATTCGGCCGCCCCGCCCCGCCCCGCCCCGCCGCGCCTCCGCGCCGCTGGAGCTCCTTGAGGAGCAGGAATCTCGACTCCCATATTTCTTTCTCGCGAAATAAAACTGCGATGGCGATCACAATTTGTGTAACTCACACACGCAGGCTGCAGGGGGAAGAATCACAAACTCCCCCCCTCCCCCACCCCTCGTCGACCCACTTGGAGGCCGTGTGGGGACGTGCCGATATCTCCCCGTGAAACAAGAGGTGTAATTCATCTCCCAGCCCCCCCCCCCTTTCGGCGACAAATTCCCCAACTTTGTTGATTCCGACTGATGACTCTGCTCTTCCGGCCGAGGGGAGACTCTCAGCCTTTGGGCTTGAGGGGCTCGCGGGGGGCGGCCAAAATGACGCCTTTGTGGGCGGCCGTCTTGGCGGCCTTCTCGGCGGCACCGCGGAGAGGCGGGGTATTGTTTCGCCGGCGTTCGGCACTTGCAGTGGGGGGGGGGGGGGGGGGACCGCCTTAGCCGTGCGACCTTCGACCTTGACACCGCGCGACCTTGGGGTGCCGATGCCGCGGTCACCTAGCCTGCCACTGCTTTGCTCCTGACAGTAACATTTCTATGAGGGCACATAATCAAAAATCAAGTGACTGTTTTTTTTTCGCGTTTGTGAAGGGTCTGCAGCAACTGACGGCCAGCGCTGCGAGTGAGACTGAAACTTGAACCGCGGTCCTCCCTCTCTCTGTTTGCAGGCGAGCACCCCGCGGCGATGCAGCACGGCAACAAGAACCGGGCGAGCGCCCTGTCGCTGCACTGCTTGGTGTACTCCGTGGCGCTGGTCGTCATGAGGAGATGAGACTGGACCACGGCGCTGGGTGCCTGGACCTGGGTCTAGCCTGGGCCGCCTGGACCGCCCGGACCACTCGCATCGCCTGCAGCGTGCCGGCCCGCCAACTGGGACTTCCCGACTTCCCGGACTTCCCTGGGACTTCCCCGAGCTTCCTAGGGGCTTCCCTGGACTTGCCGGCGGCGGCGGGTCTGACTCTGGACTGCCGGCGGCGGTCTGGTGCCGCTGTCGAGTGATTCGAGACAGTTTTCGGCTCGCCCAGACGAGCGCGTCGCTGGTTGGCGCGGTGTGAGCACATCCGGTGCACCGCCGCAGTGGGCTGTGGTTCGTCTCCCCGCCGAAGGGACGACTTTTGTGAGGACACTCGGGAAACACTTTCCGTTAGAAGAAATTTGTTTTTGGTTGTTGTTGTTGTTGGAGGGAGGAATGACGGGACCGGGTCATCTCGGATCTTGATCCGCTCGGTTCCGGCCGTTCCGGCTTCGGGGCATGCGGGCATGTCGGACGGAGATCGATTTGTGCAGGATGGAGGAAAATGTTGCAACACGGGACTATTATTTGTATCTTTGAATATCAGATTTCTCTCCAGTATATGTGTCAATAAGTTTCACTCATTAATTGAATAATTTGATTGCACGTTAGAACAGCAATAGACGGACCGAAATGCCAGGCTGCAGCTGCTAGTTTTAGAAATTGCGTTGAGCTTTGGAGCCCTTCCCCTGCACGAGGCTACAGAAAATTCGTTGATCAAATTTCGCGCTGCCGTCAGTATTCTGGTTCACTTGACCTGCCTTAACAAAGCGATTCAGTTCTCGTAATGCGAACGACTTACGCAAAAAAATAATTTTTGAAGCGCTTTTTTTGGCTGTGTTGGCCATTCCGTTGATGCAAGGCGTTGCTGGCGCTGCTTGATGAAGTTGGCAAGAGCGGTAAATCGCACGGCGACGCTCGGGGAGCCGTTAACAAGCAACTACACTAGGCGCAGACACGGCCTCGTTGTTGGTCTGGAAAAACAGCAGTTTGCCTCGCGAAACGGTGCTTGCACCGCAAAAAAATTATTGCTTTAATTCACTGGTTTTGTTCGTCGGCCAATACCAGAGTTCATTCGGCTCGCTTTCTCGGCACTCTGTCACGTTCGCTACGGAGCGAGAACGGTGTTCTCGTCCCCTGCCGCGATTTCCCATCCCTTTAATTTCACTTCGGCGTGAACGTGCTATTTCTCGACCATCTTTCGCAGTCATCTTGTACCTGTATAAACTCTTTCTTTGACACTCTGCGCATCATATCCAACCGGAAATGAGTCCTTCATTCCTCTCCTTTTCCTGTGGTGGTTCCTTTTTCTGATGCTGTTCTTAATTAATACGGCAATCTAAGACTGATAGCATTGGTGATTGTCTACCTTCTGTACAGAAGTTTTGTCTTGTTCTTGTAGCGTTTACAAGCACGTCTTTGTTTTGGATAATAACAATTGCAGGAACGTAGAGTTAATTGATTCACTTGAAATGTTTTTTTACCGGATGTATATAATGTTCTCGGTTGGTGATTATATTTTTTACTGGCTCTATCTTTTGTGGAAAGTGAGCAGAATTTCGTCGCGGACTGTGACGAGGTTTCTGAAAATTGGGAAAAATCAAATGGGAACAGATAAAATTGAGTGGCGGAAATAAATCACTGATTTTTAGGATGATTGTAAAGAATTGACAACTGTTTAATATGCTGGTCGGAGGACATTGTAAGCAGAGAAAAATTTGTGTTTTTGTCTTTTTGTTTTGTACTTTATGTTCAATCTCAGACCAGAGTATATTCTGACTTCCAGAACTGTGCTGTATAAAGTTATGATCAAATATGTACATAATTATATTAATTTTCTTTAGACCTAGTGAATAAAAGTAATCAAACGTTTTGAATGTTTTATTTCCAAAACACCAACTTCAAAGTCCAGCCACCCATGGGGATTCGGAGCAACGCCGAGGCAACGTGAAATCGGTAAAGGCAGCACACATTTCTAGAAATAGTTCCGACGCTGGGGCGCGGAAGGACGAGGGACGCCCCTGGAGAGCGAGGATGGCTTGCAGAGCTGCCCTGTGCAGTAGTTGGAGAAGATGGTGCGGACAAATTTATCACCAGGCATAGAAAACTTGCAGCGGCGCCCGTCGCGCGCCTTGTGCCTTTTCACCAAGTCCCAGCCGAAACGGCCGAAACGCCGTCCATACCTGTTTTCTGTCTTCGTCCATCCTATTCTCCCTCTCCTCCGGCCTTTGTCTCCACGGAAAGGGGTGGGCGGCACCAAGCGGCACCAAGCGGCACTAGCCATGCATTGCTGGACGCGGCTCGGTGGTCTATGCAAACTTGGGCTGTAAATTACCGCACCGCTTCTTCGAGCTGCCGCGGCAGTGCCCGCGCCCGCAGTGCCCAGGCAGTGCCGCCGCCCGTCACGGCGGTCACGGCGCACTACACTGTGTGGGAACACCGACCACGTCTCGGCCGGAAGCCCCACGCTCACATCCGGGAAACGGTTTGAGCCGATGAGGAACGGGTTTGCTTTCTACTTTTCCCGCCACTAGTCGAGTCCTACCTGCCACAGCCCAGCTACAATTTATTGTTTTCTGTGTGAAGGGTGACAGTTAAAGAAAACAAACAAATCAAAACCACTATGTTTTTAATTCGTAATAAATATTTTACAGGATTTGCTACACTGCTGCAGTGGCAAATTTTTGATCTGCACAGCTAGCAAGCCGGAAAAATGTTTAGAAAGGATAAGAGCTTGCTATTTTTAACATTTACCAGATACTAGCAACTGAATTATGTCCAATTTTATTGAATGCAGATAAAGACACACATACCTCTGGCACAAGAAACAAAAATAATTAAAATTTTATCATAAAAATTAACTTTTACAACAGGTAACAGACTTTCCCACACAAATTCAACAATCGTGGTATGCGTCACAAGTGGAAAATTCATTGGAAAAACTTTTAGATTAATAGGTTAAAAACGCATGGGTGTACTGTAACTTGAATATTCATAAATCTATGGAAATGATAACCAAAACAACACAGAATGAATAACAATCAACTGAAACAACATTTAACTTGATTTATCTTAAATGCCAGTTCTTCTCATCCCAATCACCCAACAATTTAGACCTAAAAGAAATTAGTAGAATTAATTTGAGCTCACCCACACGTTGAGAAGAGAAGAACTACTTTTCGGCAGAAGGAAGAAAAGTGCACTTCAAATGAAACAAATTGAATAAATACACCTAATTATTAAATGCATCATGTCCCTGTTCGGGTAACCAATAAGAATCCAGTGGATCTTGAAATGGTCAGAAAACTTAACATGGCTTAATACATTACACACTAGGGCATTACTAAAATGTGTTATGTACATAACATGTCAAGTACATTAATTCTCATTCAGAAACATTCAGTTATGTAGCTGCCTTCAGAATTTGCAGGACCATAATGCCAAGGCAAACTGCCCCTTGCTACAAAGCTAATTTGATTACTACAGGGCACAGGCATACTGCTTTTACTGAAAGTATCAAACCAAGCAGTGTCTCATTACACACATTTGTAGAAGACTTAAATTGGCATTCTGATACAGGCTAAAAATACACATATGCTTGATATGAAAGACGATGAAAGGAAAAATTGACGGTTACATGTAACAGTATGAGACAACCTGGCAACAATTTTAATGTAGCCTCAGTTACTAGGTGCTCTGCCACAGCAGTCCAAAGCAAGCCCATTCCCACCAATAGAAGATTGATAAGAAACTAAAAACATGCTCACAGGGAATGAATATGTAGGATAAATTAACCATAAGAAATCAAAACATGGAAGTCACACTTTCTGATTTGATGGTAACGGAAAACGATGCCTTGGGGAGAGGACGGAAAAGTAGTTAACAATACATTCTCTTAAGTACAATACATAATAGAACAAAAAGCATTAATATGGTTTCTCATTTTAACAAAAATATTCACTTCATTCACACAAGACAACTTGACATTCAATTGCACAATAAAAAGCAAACACATGATTGTATGGAATTTTATTAATACAAAATGTGGCACCTTAAAAAAATCACAACCCCTCAAAATATAAACCTTTGGCCAGGCATCAACAACCCAAAAGTGAGAAGCCTTCAGAAAACTTCAGTGTCTGCTGACGAAAGTGTTCTTTATAGTTGCTTTGCAAAATATTACTTAAAACTAAAAGTTAAGATAAGAAAAAGGGCAAAGAGAAAAAAAACAAGAAAGAAAACAGACCAGTTACTGTAACACAAATAAAATAGACATAAAATAAATAATAAATAAGTCATAAATATCAAGTTTAAAAAAAAAACACTCAACATATTTTAGATCATTCAAATTGATATGTAATGATAACAAACACAACTTTCTGCCATAGCTGAAGGAATCAAATATCATGTTATAATTTTTCAAGTTTTAACAAAATCGCATTTACACATACTTGACTTTTTCAGTAACACTAATATTTGCACCTGTCTAACCAAGATACATAGGGACCAATATCATAGGACGGCTGTAAATAGTTTCCAAGACCCAAGTAAAGAGTTTCCCTGAGGTAGAGATTCAGTGGATTTAAGTCCAATGAACACTTGGAGATGGACAGAGAAAGTCCTCTAGGACGGATGGCAAAAACAGGAAGTCCAATCCACATGGAAACATAAGTTGGAATAATGTCTGAAGGTTAAAGAGCACATGTTTCATGCAAAATTTCTTTCAGATGTGAAAATATGAAAATTACATTATTGAAAAGCAGTAATATCTGCTACAAAAACGTAAACCATTAAAAAGACACACTTTCACAACACTGAAATTCAAGAAGAAGCATTTGACATTTACAGTATTTTTTACAATTGAGCTGAACGTATACCACAGTATTTGGGCGGACTAATAGAATAGTAATCAATACATAAAAAATGTCCTACAAAAGACCTTGTTTAACAAGAAAAATTAAATCAAAATGAAAAAAAGATTAGTTTTGGGTGGAGTGTTTCATAATACACATTGATTGTTTAGGTGACAACTTTAACATCTCTTACATTAATACCAACATACATCACACTATTCAAGCTATAATACCCTAGATTAGATAGCCCTTATGGGATTGACAAATTACACTCAAAGAGGGCAGGACACAACTTGGTCAAAAATTCGATAAGGAAAATATACCCTAAATCTCACAACACTATCCTGCGAAAATGCAGGGTGAGGTTCTTAGAAGGCTTCCAGTCTGTTCCTACACATTTCCCTGCAATATCTCATAACTCGGTCAGCACAGGCAAGATTTTACTCCAGTCTCAAACTTCTACTGCAGAAGAATAGATTATTCTTAACATTCACTTCGGTCACAAAACAATCAGGTCTCGTTATGAGCATATGTATTACTTTTTTTCATCAACTTTGCGGCTACCAAGAAGCCAGGACCAGAGCAAAACAGCTCGCCTGCAACTGCCCGAGCCCAAATCCTACAAAAAGTCTCTCTGCCTTGGAGATTGGCCTGCGAATCTGGGTTTACTTTGCCTAGATGGAGTAGAGAGGACAGAAGGAGGTGGGCGTCGAGCTGTGCGGATTTCTCGATCCATTTCCAAGTCTTCCAGTCTCTGAGTCAAATTCAATTTTTGAACAACAGCTAGGCGAAGTAACTGATTCAAGGTCTTCTTTTCCTCATCAGCAGCAACAAGCTGTCGCTGCAACTCATCAACCTGCGTCACATACTCTTCACAGCGAGCAGCAAACATGGCACGTAGGCTGGAGAATGTGGCAGCATCCTCTTTCAGCAACCTTAGCTCATTTCTTAGCTTCATCATTGTTTCACTAACAATGGCCTTTTCATTTTCATATTTGGATTTCAGATTAGTGAGGGCATGTTCAGCTGTATTTTTGTTGGACTTAAGAACAGTGCGTAGAGTAGCAATCTGGTCACGCTTAGTTGAGAGAAGGGATTTTAGCATAATGACTTGCTCTTGAGTGGCACTATCAGAATCCTTGGATACTGAAACTGAAATAGAAGGTAATATAAGATTAAACAATGTTTTGTGACATGGAATTGTATTAACCATCTGAAGTATAAATGGAACTTACAGTCTGAACCAAGGTTTACACCCTTGTGCTTAGAAGATTCTATTAAGTTTCCAACAGCAGAGGCAAGGTATTTAACTTGTTCAAGCAAGTTTTCCACAGTGCGGGCCATGCCTGTGAATTCTTTGAAGCTACCCATTGCTTCAAGACGTCCTCCCATAAGATCAACGCCGGGTTCAGTTTCACTTTCACTCTGCTTCTCGTCAAGCAGCACTAGGCTGGGAGATTCTCCATTGAGCGTGCACACTTGATGGTAAAGCTGCGCTACTTCATCAGATGCAGCAAGGACATTGTTTTGAGTCGAGGTGATTAGATCACTAGCCTCTTTTGCAAGAGAACCCAGAAGAAGCACATCACCATCTAATTCTGACACTCGCTGTTCAGCATCAAGCAACTGTAAATATTAAAAAAGAGAAAAAAAACAATGTGAAATAAATGTGGATGAAAAATGCCAATCCAAACATAAAAATGGTTTGTTAAGAAAGTTGCAAAAGCTATTTTGGCAAAAACTGACCTTGTTTTTCAGGTTAACAACTTCTGATTTAAGCTGTAAAGTGGCATCAGAGCAGTTCAGATTCTTTTCCAATTCCTTGAGGGCCACTTGCAAGGCCTCTAATTCATTGGCAGCCACAGTGAACCAGGACTTGAATTGGGTTGAGTCACCCTGCAACACAATTTGGGGAAAAGGTGTCACGTGGGATACAAAAGGAAAAATTTGGGAGGACCATGTTCAGTGTTTGTGCCAATCCCAGTACCTTAGATGATTTTTTGCAATGATTTTGAAGTGAATCAATATTAGCGCTGATCTGCAGAATCCGGGCCATGAGAGTGCTAAGTTCGCCCCGAGATTGTTCCAAAGAGGATTGAGCTTCACGTAAATTAGATGTTAGCTGGACCTTTTCAGTTTCAGCCTGCAACAGGAAGGCAAGGAAGATAAGGATGGTTTGTGGGTCAGAAAAAAAAGTTCATAACAAACAAAAACTTCATGAAAAGAAACAAAAAACTTACTTGTTCTAGCTGCTTTTCAAGCTTCTTCAGTTCATTTAGATGAATTTCACTAAATAGGTCAACTTGTTTTCCATCTGGTGATGCTAGTTCACTACCCTTCAAATCTTCTTCAATTCTTTTCAGTGCTGGGAGCTCCTCCTCTCCATCACTACCCTCTGCTGCATTTCCTGGGGAAATCAAGGTCCTTTTTAACACATCACATAAGGCTTTTGCCACCCCTTAAAATGCAATCCCGCTGCACCGAACATTCAAATCAAATTAGTAAGATGGAAGATATTCTTTACCTCTTATACTGTAAGCTAGGTTACTCAGATTGTACATAGATTCATTATTGATTCTCTGATCAAGTTCTTTCTTCAACGCATACTTTGCTTCACGTTCAGCTTGAAGTGATTCTAAGGCTTCCTCCAAATGTTTAGTGGCAAGGTTTTTCAAAGTGGCTGATTCTTCTAGCTGACCCTGTGATACCTCTAACTCATCCTGAAGCCTACGAAATTCAACTTTTACGCCCTCAAACTCAACCTGGAAGAACAATCAATATTGAGAACAGAAAAACAAAATTGACAGCACAGGTAACACGTCAAAGAGCATACCTGCGCTGATCTCAGAACAGCAACTTGCTTCTGAAGAGTAATGTTTTCTTCTTCTACATCAGCCATGTCCTGTAAAAGACGTGTCTCCCTACTCTTAAATTCTCGCAACTCAAGTCGTAAGGATTTCCTTTCACTATCCCTTTCTTCATTATCTTTATCAAACTCCATCTGCTGATGAGCCAGGCGGTCTCGTTCTCCAACAACTCGTTCAAGTTCTTGACGAAGCTGAAATATGTAGGTTACAAATTAACATAAGACAAAAGTTTCGACACATTGCTTTGTTGTTTTCTTATCATTCTCTGCACCTGTTTGGTTTCATTTTCCAGCTCCATAATCTGCAAGGTAAGAGATGATTCCAGCGCTGCTGACTCCGACAGGAGGGACTCTTCTTGTTCAATGCCCGTTTCTGTCGTTGCTCTGTGGGTGGATTGAAACTTGGCGAGAGCCTGTAAACAAGGCCAGACAAACCAAAACATAATAATGAGCTCAATCATTAAAAACAGTCACAATTTCACACAAGAACCACACATACCTCTTGAGTAATATCCAACTCATGACGAGTGCTATCATAAACCGTTTCTAGATAATCACACCTCTGCTTCAATGCCTTGGTCTCCTCAAGGAGGCCTAACCCATACTCAGCAGATTGATTTCTTTCGGCTACAGCCTCGTCCAGTTCACGCCCGAGGCGTTCCACCTCACGCTTCAGATTTTCCACTTCCAGATCCATTCCCCCGTCAGCTTTGCTGGGATCTGAACTCGGTGTAGCCATGGTAAACGATGTACAGGTACTCTAGGCTATCGGTCTACTTTAACTCAGATACCACAAGTCATTTCTAGGCTTCTACAAAAAAATCACAACCTCTGATTCTCTCCATGGTAAACGGAGCTATTCCAGCTTTGAACCATTCAATCATTGAGCGTTTAAAAACATTTCAATGTTTTGTCTGTCACTTGAAATTGGGAATCGGCTCAAAATTGATATTGACTGTGACACTGAAAGAAGATGAAGACGTAATGACGGAAAGTGTTGGAAGGCTTCTGCTTCGCTGCAGCGACTCACGTTTCTGTTGCCAACGTGCAGCGAACAGAGTCGATATTTCTTTTAATTTTGAATCTTCTATAAGAGCTCAGGTTGTTAAATACATTCTTAATTTACTTTCAGGGTATCTCAAAATTAGAAAATAGGGACATTCACGACGTTCAACAACTTAGTTCGTAATGAAATTTTGTGTTGCATGATACTTGCACTTCGTAGCCTCGCCCGAGGCTCCCTCTAGTCGATACCTGAATCTTGAGTCGATAGTTTGTAGCGCGCTTTACCTGTAGAAATTCAAAAAATAGTCGTTGCCGATAAAATATCACTTTGAAGTGTGCTGTGTTTCATTGGACTTATCATGAAGCCTGTTCTTCACGTTGAAGTTGTGCAGAAAAAGCAAAGGTAAGCCTTGTCATGGTTGTATCTGATACACTGTCAGAAAAAAACGTTAATATCAACTGTCAGTACTGTTCTAACCTTTACATAAATATCCCAACTGGTTGTAACTTCAAGTTTGTACTGCGAGTCAGGTTTTGAGCAATTCAGATCTGTCATGTACTCTGCTCTTTTGACCAATCTTTCTCATTTATTTAATTTCAGCAATGTCCTACAGACCACTTTGCACAACTATGTTCTTGCTGGCATGGAAGCTCGAAAAATTCTGTCACCAGGCACAACGCTGACCAATTTGTCCAATGAGCTCCTTTCTGACCATGTTGAATCAATCCACATCTGTGAATACAACAACGAAGGAGAGTTGCTGGTAGGAATGATTTTCCCATTTTAAATCCTTTACTGTAGAGGTTGATGAGAAGCTTTCACTGTTATCTTCTTTCAGTCGCTCAATGTTGAGGATCTTGAACTACGCATCCACATCTTCAAATTGGATGATGAAGGAGTACAGTTGGAATGTATTGATAGTGGAGACGGGGATGGGCACGAAGTGTCTGCTGCACAACACTGGGTTTTACCCTCTCGTGACTTCAATGGGCTGTGGGAGAATTTAATTTATGAATCCAACATCAAAGAAAATGTATGCACTTGCCATTAAATATCATTTCAGGAAAGAGTGTGGTAGGTTTATAGATTTGGGTTTGCTTCTTTACAGCTGCTTCAATATATGGAAACAACTCTTCTTTTCTCTGATCGGAATGTATCCCCTCATGTAATTACCTGGAATCGAGTGATTCTTCTACATGGACCTCCAGGAACGGGCAAGACATCTTTGTGCAAAGCTCTTGCCCATAAACTTGCTATTAGATTGTCTAAAAGATATTCCTGTGGTCAGTTACTGGAGGTCAACAGCCACAGCTTATTTTCAAAATGGTTTTCAGAGGTAAAAATAGAAATTGAGACAGTTCTCCTTTTTTCAACACTAAAATGTTATTATTATACGTTTTTATTTCAGAGTGGAAAACTTGTCATGAGAATGTTCTCCAAAGTGAAAGATCTAGTTGAAAATCCGAATGCTTTAGTAATAGTTTTAATAGATGAAGTAGAAAGCCTTACACATTCAAGGAGTTCTTCTGGCGGAGTAGAACCATCAGATGCCATCAGGACAGTAAATGCTGTTTTGACTCAAATTGATGAGCTGAAGAAGTGAGTAGTCCATCAGGTCATATTATATGTGCGTAATTTTGTTTGTTGAAAACAAGAATAAAATACTCTTTGCCCTCTCTAGATATCCTAATGTTTTAATCATGGCTACATCTAACGTAACAGATGCAATTGATTTAGCATTTGTTGATCGAGCCGACATTAAGCAATACATAGGCCCACCTCCTGTGAAGGGTATTTACAAAATTCTTTCATCCTGTGTTGCTGAGCTCAGTAAAGTAAGTGTATTTCACTTAGGGTTTCCCTTTTCCACACAGATGTATTCATTGATAGTGTTTTACAGGCAAATATCATCACCCCTAAGGAAGAAATTCATACGTTTGATGGTATTGTGCAAGTCCAGGCTAAGAATGGAGAAGATGTGCCTGCCTTTAAGAACAGCTTACAACTTCTAGACATTTCAAGGTACAACTGCATGCTGTTAAAACAATGTACATTTCTTTTCCTCTGTTAGTGTGTCAAAAAAATTATCTTTTCTTTCTTTTTGAATTTGCAGGCAGTGTGAAGGCCTTAATGGAAGAACTTTGCGTAAATTACCGTACCTTGCTCATGCCCTTTACGTCCAGAAGCCTGCAGCTACTCTGGAGGAGTTTCTTGCTGCATTACAGAAGGTAGTAATCCAACATAAATCAGAAATGAGTGAATTGAAGTCCAAGTAGTGCTTCTAGTTTTGTCAGAGGGGTTCTCTTAGTTTTGTTTATCTTTTTATTCCCCCCTAAATCGTTTCTGGTTTTTGAGTAGGTGTTGAATTTATCAAAGGATCTTTGATGTTTGTAATAATTAGGTTTTTCTTTTTGAACTTTTTTTAATATCTTTAAAAATAATAAGAATGGTCAGTGTGGTTACTCCAGTTACATTTTATTTAACAAATCAGTTTAATTTTAACCACTGGAAATACTGACATGTTGCTTTGAGCCCAGCCACCATAACATGTACAAGTAAAATATTCATAAATACCCTGTCACAATAAAATAAAATAGCATAACAAAGAGGCAACAAATCAACTCCTGAATTTCATTGAAACCCACTGGGCCTAACTAAATCACACAAAAATAAAGCATCACAATGGCAAGACTTGAAACATATAGTTACACCCATCAGAGAGCTCACCACATCAGAACCTCACAGCACAACCAAGATGGTAAACTATGAAATGGAAAATGAATGTAACAGTAACTAGGATAACATCAGCACATATCAGGTGCAAGATTTATTGTCAATTATTTGTTCCCTTCCTTAGTTCAGTGACATGAGTTTTCATGTCTTATACATAACTTGACACTATAACACCTCTTGCAAAGCTCCTTAACTTTGGTCTTGCCCTAGGATTCTTATCTTAAGCTCAGTTATAATTGAACCAAAATTTAACAAAGTAATTTCATCTATCATAAGTTCATACAAAGAAAACAATATGTGCCCTTATTCTTTAATCAGTCTTACACTGAAATGTCACTTGCATAGGGAGAGTAAAATTGATAACAGCTATTGCAAACACATAATTGTTCTGTTTTGTTTTTGTGTTTTTTTCTTTTCACATTAAAAAAAATCTTTGAGGTTTATTTATTAGAAAGTTTTGTGAGATCGTAAGACTTGCTCCCTTCAAAATTTAAAACATTAATTAAAGCAAAATTAAAATGGAATACTATACATATCAAACAAAACATCCCTTTCTGAGAGGCAATGTTGTAACTAAAAACATTTCCTATAAAATTACATAATGTCTACAATTATTCTAAGCACATGGGTTGTAAGATTGGAATACTGTAGTATAGTTGAGTAGTACAAAGCCTGCCACTGCACCAATTGCCGAGCCCACCTGTGTCATAGCACCATACCAAAATAGACCTTTACCACCATTTTTACGGAACCTTGTAGCGATGGCCAATTTGATGTAAGATACAAGACCAGTAAATAAAACCCAAGAAATAACCTGAAAAATGGAAAAATAAAGGATATGAGGCACGTGTTTGATCTAGGTTGATGTTTGACGGGCATTTACTTACCACTAGAGCCTCTCCTGCCTGGGTGCCCACTAGAGGTGGTCGAGGACTTCTAGTTGCAGTGACAAAAATATACATTGCTACAACAACTGTGGGGAATGCCATCAAAGATATTGCAGAAAGAGAGGTGAAGGTTACAAAGAATAGAATGTAGCATGCTATTGGGTTTGCCATACTTCCCAAATTGATGGCGAGATGATATGCTACGTTACCATAAGGCAGGCAGGAGTAGGATTGGATTGAAGGGAACAAACCATTAGCTATTGCAGAGGCACAGGCCTGCATGATGAGGAAAATTGCATAGGTCCGGCTGTTCATTTTCTGTAAGATAAATAAATAACTTTAAGGAAAAGCGCACTTAATTCCTCCGAAAAATCTGATAAAGTTCAAGTTTTACCTTTACTTGGCTAGTCAGAGAAGAAGGGCCACTGTCAAACTCTTGTGGTTCTCCATTGCCTCTCCCACTCTCACCATCTGAAGTTTGGTTTCTTGCTTTGTCTGGAGAACCGGGCACCACTATGCTTGACCTGGCATCCTCAATCTCATTGTTGTTTTTACCGGGACTAGAATAATCATTCTTTTGTTGCTTGCAAACAGGAAGGTACTTTAGCAATAGAAATGAGATAAGACTTAGAAGTTGAAGGAAAAAAATGAGGATCAGAAATGTTGAGACAGAAAAGAGAGGGGGTGGAGTATACTGCTTTTTAGGGCCAGATGGGTTAGACTCATCTATGATACAGGTTGGGTTGCCACCCACCCCTTGCAATAAGGATGTGATACTAGGAATAAATGCGCTCAGTCCTTCACCAATCATGTATGAAACCAGATATGTCTCTTTGTATCGGCTCATGTAAGGTATGAAAAGAACAGAACTTGTACATGCTACCAGCGCACTTGTGAACACCAAAGTCAGCAAAGGAACACTGTGAAAAGATTCTCCTATCTTGACTGTTTGCCTGAAAAATAAAATTTCATAATCACATAAGGAAAAAATTAAGAGTGGTAAAGTAACTAGTAGCATCAGAGTAAGATCTCACCCATAGAAGAAAGACATGAGCAGGAGGGAAATGCATCCAATAAACATGAGAATTGAAATAAAAATACTGTCTGGAACTTTTCCCTTGCAAAATTGCTGCACCATTCCATAGCAAACTCCTCCAATATTAGCTGCCTGTAATGAATAAAATAATAATAATATTTTTGAAGGCAGTTCTGTCCTCACTTCAAGCAATGAGGTTTTAGTATTTTTGAGAGTAGAAAAGAGGTATGAATGATTTGCATTGAATTCAGAATGCCACTTGCCTGAATTAAAACAACAATGTACGAGGGCAGCGCCCAGCCCTCTGGAGCATTAAATACAAGCAGTGGTAGCTGTGTATACATTCCATTGATACACAGCCACGCTCCCATTCCAAAGAGGGCAGCCAGCACATCCACAAGCAGGACACGATTTCTGAGTCGTTCCTTTATGGAGTAGAAGACCCCCATCTTGGCTGGTGCTGCTGACATTTGTCTTCTAGTACAATTGAAGTACTTTATTGGAGAACTACCGTCGTAGAGCAGGGGGGTCTCCTCAGTGACCTTCCTCCTGAAAGGGATAAAACAATACTGTTAGTATAACAGATAGAAGGAGACAACAAAAAACATAAAATGAGACCCCAGAGTGCATCTAGCATGCCCTCTTGGGTTCACAATTTTTTGTTAGTCAAAGGGACATGAATGATGCAATTTTCAAGAATGGACGAAAATATTTGACAGTCTAGTGCTGCGCCTCAGACGCTCGGAACGCAACTGCTGCGTGATATCCCTCACTCGCAACCAGTGCCAACATGTCCTTTGGCTCGAAATTCTTGAACGGACAAGTATGTGACCCGGTTAAAGGTGCTAAGTTCAGGTTACGTTTTCGGAGGACGGACGCCCTAAGAGCCGCGACACAAGGTGGACAGGTGACGAACCACTACAAAACGCGCCCCACAACCCGCCCGATGCGTTCCCAGTCGCCGTACATTCAAGGGGAGTCGCCGGTCATCCTTCTTCCATGACAAATATTGTAATCAGTTGCCAAGGTCTACTTGGCTTGCAAAAGGGGCTTCTGCTTGCTTGAAGCTCGGGCAACGCAAGCAGACGACAGTGGACAGACGACGAGAGGACAGCTTAGCCAACCTTCCGGGTCCTTCCCCAGTTCGTCAAAACAGCTGTGCGGCGCTGTGCTTCAAGTGCGGTCATTTTACATCGGCAAGAACGCCTAAAACGTCGTATCGAAAGAACTCGGGTGGGTGCCCCAACGCGTCAGTGGCATGCTCCGGACCGACACTCTGCGCGAAATTGCTTAAACTGCCGTGCCATCCGCGGAGCGCGCGATTCAAACAAGTCCGGGAAGGACGAACGGCTGAACGTCGCAGACCGGGCACGAGAGAGCCGACATCTCTCTCCGGCCAGCCTACGGCCAGCCGAAACCACGCGCACTGTCAGAGCTGGACCGTCTACTTTACCGCGGTGTGGGCCTCCCGGTGCACGTCCACGTAGAGTCCCAGACTCCAGGCAGGGCAGTCAGGCCAAGGGCTGGACGCGGGAGGCACGAGCCAACCTGGCCGCACTGGACTTGCTGGACAAGCTCGGTGCGTTGCCGCAGTTGCCGAGGACGGCTCGGGTACTCTGCCGCGCCTGTCAGTGGAATGCACTGTACTAAGTACAGTGCACACACTGTGGTACCGCGGTGGTACCTACCGGCCGCGGGGGCCGCGGGGCGCCCGCCAGCCACGTGGGTCGACGTCGGGACCGTCGGGACACGCCGTCGCACTCAGTCGGCCACACTCCGGCTGGGGGAGAAGGAGACGGAGATAGAGCAATTACCCACCTTGGCTCTTCGTGTCGACCAGCGGGCTTGTCGCGCTTGTCTCGGCCAGGCTTGTCGTAGGTGTGATAAGTCGAGCCACCTGCCGGAGTCTTTATGGTCCTCGGCGTTGCATGCCGCGCTGCAAGCGGCCGGCTCGCCAGCCCGCAGGGGTGGCGTGGATCCTTCCCTCCCCTCCCCGGGCCCCACTGGGCCCCACTGGGCCCCACTGGGCCCTCGCTTCCCAAAACGCCCTCAGCCTGGTTGCCAATCTCCTTGCCGGAACCCCGGGGCCCGCGCGTAAGCGCCTTGCCGGGGCTCGAACCGCTGCCCGCTCGCTTGGCCCGGCGTTGCCCCATTTGACCGGCTCCGGGCCGCTGCCCGCTCGGCTGGAGACGGCGTTAGGTTGGCTAACCTAACCTGCCGGGTCGTCGGACGGGGCACCCCCGGCACCGCGTCCTCCCTTCGCCAAGTGGACTACGAACGGCCCCTCCGCGACTTAGGCCCCGAGAGTTTCCCCTGAAACATCCTCGCCAATCAGACGCGTTGACTGCCAATCGATAAATGGGAATCGTTCCCCGAAGGCAAGCCGCGGGGGCCGCAGGCGTTGCTTCTGACAAATGACAGTGACAATCACAGCAGTTGGGCAAGGGGTTGGCGTGGTGGGGCCTCCTCGCAGACCTACCTGTCCATGGTGACCTGGCTGCTGCGGGGGGAGGACGAGGAGAAGCACTTCCAGGCCCAGGCTGGACAAACTGCAGTCGCGGGGTTGCGATTCATTCGGCCGCGTGCCGTCCCGGCCCTCTGGCACTGTGGGCCCTCTGGGGCGCGCGTCAGCTGTTCGCGTCGAGCTCGTCTGCCCTGCCTAGGCAAGGCCTAGGCGGCACGCCGCGCCGCGGCACGCCACGCCACGGACGCTCTTTCCAGGCCGTTTCACCTTATCAGAGATTGTACACAGTGTGGTGGCGGGGTCGGCCGAAAGCGGGAAAGCGGCAGACTGCCAGACGAGCTTGCCGAGCTTGCGGCCCCAGACAACAGGAAGCTCTTCGGGCGGGCCGCGGGGGAAGCCCGCCGAAAGCCCGGCTTTCGCGAGCTTCGCGAGCGCCCTTGCTGACCGGGAGTATACTTTCCCGAAATGGCGCGGCTTGCCTTTACTGGCAGTGTATGAGCATGCGCGAAAGTGAAGGCGGTTCGTGCCGCCAATATGTAGCGTCATGCTCTACACACTCCGTACACTGCCAGACTCGGCCAGGGCACAGGTGCACAGTGGGCCCCTCCAGAGTCGCTAAATGGGACTGGAACCGAACGTGTGACCCCACCAACGGATTGCTCTCCGAACGAAGAACGCGTCTAGAACTTTGGCCGCCTCCGCCGGTCGTCTGGCTCACTGTTGGTTCCCAGGACCCGAAGGATCCTTACTCAAAATAGGCTCTGTCCGAAACAACATTGACGCACTCGCCGCGCTTCGGGAAAACGCCCTCGGCGCTTCCAGGTACTTTTGTTTTATCTAGGACACAGTAAACTCGGCTTTGCTCCCGCTGAGCCACTGTCACTGTGTGTCTAACGAGATAGCGGACCACAGAACGGAACGAAAAACAAAAAGCAGCGATGCTCTTTTTACGGCCACAAAGTTGCGGCCAGAAGGTTGTCTCGTCGGATGCATGGCCGTCTTGGGGCTACGAGGGTCCCGCAGGGGCGGGACAGGAACCATAAGGAGCAGCCGGCCGGTGCCTGCCAGGTAGGCCACCAACCCGCCTCGCAACACACCGGTGTCTGGCGGTGGTCTGCCTCGCCTGCTTGCCCAAGGGCTTGCCCAAGGGCTTGCCCCAGACGGCGAGGCTAGGCAAGGCCATAGAACGCGCCTCTCTGTTCCACTCGCTCTTCTGCACCTGTCTTTGCCGCGCCTCTACCGGACGCGCAACGAGTGCGAGAGGCAGAGTGTCGTCTGCTGTGTTGGGGTTGCGCGTTCCGGGGGCTGCCCGGCAGACGTCAAGTTTAGGCGGGCGTGAGTCAGGGCACGTTTCGGGCCGAGTCCCTAAATAGTACTCGAATCAGACACATGATGGTGGCAATGGATGGCTCGCCCTTGGAATGAGGGATCCATTGATAACCATCATGTGTTGACTCGAGTCACTACACAGACGTCCAGACGACGCGGTCATCGGGGTGTCGGGTCCGAGCGGTCCGAGCACCGCCCAGCATCGCCTTGGGGGCAGCGCGGCGCGGTGCGGGCCCATTTCACCACACCCCCAGCGCAGCGCGCGCAGCGCCCCAAACACGATAGGGCGCTCTCTATCTCTCTCTCGTTCGCTCTATCGCCGCGTCTATCCGATCGGCCGCTCTCTGTCGCGTGACCGAATCTGTCACGTGTATCGCTTCGCTGTGCTTCGCTGTGCTTCGCCGCGGCGCTGCGGGGTCAACTGACTGTAGAGCCTCGGGCTGTACAGCATTCCCTCCGTTCCCTCCCTCCCAGCGACCTTGGGGCCCAAGGCTTGCGCTGCCTCCAAGACGCTCGGACAACGGGGCGGGAAAGTGACGCCTCGAATCAAAGCCCTCGCGGAAGGATGCACCTTGCACTCCTACGTGCACACCCTGCTCCGCACCGAAACGAAGAGGAGGTGAGCTCGCCTCACCACCATGCTCTTTCTCTCTCTCACCAGTCCTTACTTGGTTCATTCAACTCGCTCGTTGTGGAGGGAGGGGGGGGGGAGTGCAGCGTCGCTACCCCCTGCCTGCGGCCCTGCGGCACGCCTGGCGAAGGCGCATGGTCTCTAGTGACACGGAGTACTCCCCTTCGGGTTCTTCGGGTCACGACCGCATCGGGCAATCGCTCCAGGTTTGAATGGCCATTCATCCAACCAGTCAGGACAGTTGTGGGCGCGGAGTTCTTCCGACTCATTTCTCAAAAATTAATTGGATAGGCTCGAAAATACGTCTCCTTGCGACTAACATCGTCCGATTATCTCAGACTTTGTTCGGAAACCGACGGCTGAAAGAATCTAGGGTGTCGTGGACACGTTGTTCTCAGAAAATATCGCTCCGCCCATGTGAAAAGTAGTCCCCTGCTTTGAGCGTCCCGAGAATATTTATTCCAATTTATTTTATCTGTCGTATGTGTTTGCTTATGTCGCAAAAATCTTGGATGATTCGGCAGGAAATCGGCAGTGGTCCTGAGTGATTGCTCTGCTCATGCGAGTGTCGGGGCGTGTGCGAAGGCGAAGGCAATGCGCAGCGATGCGCTGCTCAGACTCGGACTGGACTGACTCTAGCGTCGTACTCGCATTGTGTTGTCCAAGTGAACACTAAACAGCAATTATGAGCCTTAATTACAAATCGTATCACTTCTGTCGAAGGACTCAGGTTCTCTATGGATATTGAAGATCTGATTTAAAATAACTTCCGGTAAGACGGATGCGTTTCATGTCAAATAAAGGCAATTCTCTGCTCGCAGGCGAGCCGTCGGACGGAGGCATAGTTGGGTGTCACGGCTTTTAGTTATGCTTTTCTGGGCTTCACCCGCCTCTAGTACCCCTAGCTGCTGCAGGGTTCATTTCCTTAAGAATTTGCGCTGGTCCCCAGGCCTTTTCATCCACTGTGGTTCGATAGTGGCGTCTTTCCGAGGTTATGTTGTTTGTCCACCATAGAGGATGCCCGTCGATGGCTGGGAGTTGGCTGATTAATTTTTCCTTGACAGTCATTCTCGCCAGTTCATTTCGATGGACATTGCTATTTAAATGAAAACGCCCTCATTCTGGCCTTGCGTGTGTTGCCGCGCTTCGGTGGCTTTTATACATTGTGGCAAACATGAGCTTCCTGGCAACTCTGCTCTTGTAAACAAATGGCCATTTTCTTTTGCTGACACTGGTTCGCCAGAAAGCTGCAGAACAAACTGCCTGTGTTTTCAAACGGAGAGGAAATAAAGAGTTTTTATTTTTTTTTTTTGACAGATTGCTTAAACTACTGCACCCTCCAACTGCAAGAGTTTATTTGACTCTGTTCAAAAGTTGCATGTTATTGATCTGAAGTCAATATTTTCCATTCTGCTTTTATTATGTTTGGCCTGGCCTTTAAATGAATGGAATAACTCTTACACTTGTCGAGGCTGCCATTAGAATGAGTCATTCTCTAAAATATTATGATAAATTGAAAATCAGTTTATGTCATTAATTCATTTTCTATTTTAAAAAAGAACAGTTACCACTTTGGGTCTGCAACTGTTAATTTATTGTTAAATGAAAATTCTTTTTAGATTATAAATTTTGTCAGTCCTGAGATGCTGCAGGTTGTCTGTTGTTTCAATGTTATGCTTTATTGTTGTGCATTACATCTCTATTCTTTCTTTGATTTACAGTGCAGGCAGCGGTGAGGCGCAACAGAGGCAGGATGGTGGTGGACCCGTCACTTTCAAGGCACCCGGGGTCGGTTCACCATCGTGCACTGGTGCTGACCTCGGGTATGACACCCAAAGAGCTGTCAGATAATGACGATCTTGCAACATCCTTTGTGTTAGACCCATATTTAGGATTTGTAACCCATAAAATGAACATAAGGTTGGTATCAACAGACAAAGCTTTGAATATTAAATACCAGTTTTGTGAAGTGTGGTGATAACTTTTCTTTTTTACATATTTCAGATATAGGCCTCCTAAAGCTAACAAAGAAGAACTAAAGGGTATAATAGAAGAATTTTTGAAGAAGCAGGACTATAGGAGAGCTTGCAACAGACTTCTGTCAGTAGATGCCCTTCATAAGGCTATGCAAATGCGTAGCCGACCACAGCAACAAAAACTAGAAGAACATGTGAGTGTCTGACATCTGACAATTATATCCATAGAGGTTATTTTCATGCATTACTCATCCTGCTTTATTTGCTGTGTTTCAGTTGTATCGTTATCTGCGTGTTTTTGACAAAGACTCAGGTTTTCTCATAGAACCATGTTTTCGATATTCATTAGAAGGTCAAAAAGGGGCCAAAATTTCAACCACCCAGAAGTGGTAAGTGCCTTTGTTTTCTTAACTAGTACTGTCTTCAATATAATCATTACAGTACCTCAATTTATTTTTGTACATCCTCCCTTGTAGGTACAAAAATGAAAAGATACCATGTTTAGTGGGTTGCATTGCTGAGTTAACTGAAGAAGAGGAAGCCATGCTGCTTCATCCCGGCAAGAATGATTTTTCGGTTATGTTCAGCTGTCGCAAGAACTGTGCTCAGCTTTGGTTGGGGCCTGCTGCATTTATCAACCATGACTGCCGAGCAAACTGCAAGGTAACCTTTTCCCCATTGATAAAAATACTGTTGTCAACACTCAATTCTAAATTTTCACTGATGATTTTTTGATTCTTCAACAGTTTGTTGCAACTGGACGAGACACAGCTTGTGTCAAAGTACTGAGAGACATTGAAGTTGGTGAAGAAATTACTTGCTTTTATGGGGAGGATTTCTTTGGTGATGGAAATGGGTACTGTGAATGTAAAACATGTGAAAGGTTAGTGAAGTTTCTGTTTTCACTGCTGGCTACTGAATGTGTTGATTAATGAAATGTTTGTTATCACATAATTAATTTTCCCTTTTTTGCACCCAGGAGAGGAACTGGGGCATTTGCTAAAAACAAAACAAACAAAGAAGATCTAAGCTCAGGATATCGATTGAGAGAAACGGAGAATAGAATTAATAGGACAAAACACCAACATGAGGACAGCCATGAGAAACCCGCTGCTGATTCCGAGAGTGTTCCTCTAAGAAACAGGAGTAATAACACAAATACCATCAGTTCAAGTTCAAACAAACCATCCTCCACTACTTCCGCTGCCCCGGCCATACCTTCTGTTGTTGTTGCACCTTTAAGTTTGAAAGAGCTGCGCCAAAAGGGTCTCACCAAGTACGATGCAGAAATGCTGATGCAACAAGGGTGCCGCTTTTCTGATATTGGATCTCTTGAACATTTAGAACATGTCACAAGACGGCAATCTCAAGATCAAGGTAAGTGAAAGCATATTATTGTAAGCTCTTAAACTATAAATATGTTAATATATTTGGCAGATGCTTTGCACTGTCTCCATATCTGAATAACCTATTAAAGAAGCAACATCTATTTATCTGCAGTTAATAGATTTTCCTCTTACAATTCTAAATAGATTATAATATTTTAAATAAAACTGCAATGCAGCTGCCTATTTTTTAACATTTTTATAAAATTTAAAATATTTGAAGTTGCTTGGCTCAGACTTCTTGTTAAATTTAACTTGTGTCTCCATTTTTCGGCTTCATCCATTTGCATCCATGTACCCTTCACACCATCAACATTTATAGGGGGCGGATTTCTGATTAGTACTAAGGATTATTTGCATGCCAGGTAACTTCCTGGTGGTTGAATCACTGTGGGGTGTGTCAGTTCTTTTTCCTTTTTCTTCCGTCACTGTAATGTCTAAGAGTGTGTGTTATTGGTAGTTTCTGGTGGTGTAGGTCATTTTCTTCTAGATTCTCTTCTGTGTCAATTCTTTGGGCTCATTCCGCATCATGTTCATTACTGGGGGAATAATTCTTAGCGTGGGCTTAAGCCAGGGTGGCCAATGCTGTCCATATTGAATCAGTCCCAGGACCATCAAATATCAGTCACACAATGCCTCTGACTCTGAGCCACACAGTGTAATATGTTTGTTACCTTTCCACGGCTGCTGATCACTTGGCTTTATTTTTTTAGAAAATGAGCTCTTGTTTATGATTGGCACTTACTCTGCTTTTTACTTGGAAATGAAGTCTGGCTATTGTGATGTCAAGATATTTGCACAACCTCCTCTCAAAAGTAGTTCTCAGAGTAGAACTAAAGTTACATCTAAAGTTAACCTCAAATTTGCTTTGTTCCTCATGTTTGCTTTAGAATTGAATGGAGGATTAACTGAGGAGTTAACATTGGCCAGTAGTTTCCATCATGCATGTAGCATGTCGTGGAATGGTTTTGTGTGCAGCATTGGGGCTCAATTCACGCTCTGTTTATTGTCCTCAGGAATCGAGAACAGGATTAAAAGCAAAAACGGTTCATCTCTCGGACAGAAAAACTTCATTAAAAGCGGACTTTACCGGTAAACTATTTTTGTCACTTAAGACTTTCTTGGGTCTTTTTGAAAACTTTTAGGAACAGTTTCAGTATGTAGATGAGGTGGGGTCACAAGAACCAATATCATGTTTTGCAGAGAACTATGAGAAAAACGAAGCTTGCATTGCATAATGGCCTTTGGTCAGTGGTAGTAATTTGAACTTGATGTCTCTCCATAAGTATGACACACATCACTGTCAAGATTTTGTGCCATGAGACAAGCAAGAAATAAATTGTTGTTGGCAGTATCTCTTGCAATTACATGCTCTGTGCCCTAGTCTGACATCTCTTACCCAGATAACCCCTGTGGATAGATAATCTGAGTCATAAACTTGTACTGAAGCTGTGAATACTACAAAAGAACTTAAATATTTTTGTGCATACTTTTGGTGTGAACAGCACTCTAGCCCTTTCAGCTACTGCCGATGCGATGCATGATACGGTCACACTGTGTGGTCCTTTCTGCAAAACATGGGGCTTGAGGCTCTCAAGTGTGTAGCCTGAAGACCCTCTAAAATGCATGCTGAATAGATGCATGTTGTCCTTCTATGAGACTCCCCACTCAAGCCAGAGACCAACTAAGTCCTAAGTTAAATTATAACCTTCTTACTATTTCAGCTAATCTATTATTAGTGGGTTTAGAAGGATTCAATTGCAACTTTGTTCTTATGCTTAATCAAAGTGGGAGGAGGCTCAATCGAAATGGTGCTTGGTTGTTTTATTGTTCGTTTCTTCTTTTTTTGTCTTGCTTTTGTTCCAGGTGCGTTTAAGTTGTCAGCTCTAAATTTGTCATCCCTCAAAACCTTTTTAATTGGAGGTCTCTTCCATCTTTCCATTTTTCTTCTATACTGGATTCTTAATTAATCTGTGATTTTAAACTAAAACATTCTTGTTGATTTTTTTTTATTACTGGTATTATCTTTATTATAAGAGAATAGGACACATTTGTTTCCTAAGGAGAAGACTGTTTGCTGGTTTTATTGTCTTGTAAATCTTAATGCTTACGTTAGTTTCATAAGTTTTACATTTAAGTAAAGTTAACACCATATGCTTGTTATTTCTTTTCAAACTGTTTCTCTTCTCACTCTTTGCATTGTTAAAATCTTGCTTAAATGGTTAAAAAAATGGCTTAGCATTTTTTATACTACGTGTTTCTTTGCTACCCTTCTTTTTCATTTGAAGTCCATTTTCAAAACAAAAAGAAATATGAATCATAATTATTTGGGTGAACTACATCTGCTTGAGAGTGTGTCACTAGGCATTCCCTCTGCACCTGCCTAGCCTTTTCAGGACACTTGTTATTTCTGTGCGGATTTTTGCCTAAGCACCTGTTCTGACTCGTATGTTGTGGTTGCAGCGCCGCCCGCAACTGCAGCAACGGCAGCAACCCCAGACGCTCAACCCAGCGGAGAAGCAGAATCAAAACGGAGCCTGCGGAACAGTGTCTGTCGAGAACAAGACCAAGAAGGGAGAAGCGAGTCAGGAGAAGGCCTCGATGAAGTTGCTAAGAGTGTGCTAGCTGAAGTACCTGACAAAGCACCTTGTCGGATCACACGTTCTTCCCGCCTTCTTAGAACCTCAGCGGCTAAGGCTGACTGCATAGTAGCAGCGGAAACCATTGAATCTAGAGTAGCAAGTCCGCTCCCAGTATTAGAGAAATGTGTGTTGAACGGTATAAGTGATGATACCCGGAGTAATGCTGGAAGTGATAGAGATTCTGTGTGCAGCGAAAGGAAAAGCAGATTACGTAAAAGGTTGAAGGACAGCGAAGATTCTCCATCACCCCTAGCCCCCTCTCTCTCCCCCCCTGTGATAAAAGAAGAGAAGGAAGAACCTCCTGTCCTAGAAGTGAATGTCGAAAGTAGTGGAAGTTCATCTATCAAGGAAGAGTCTAAAGACAGTAAACAACCTGTGGTGAAAGCAGCCAGACTTCGAAATGGTCGTTTCGTTAGCAAAAAGGCAGTAACAGATGACAGTGCAAGCGGGAGTCGGGATACACCGAAAAGATCTCAAGAAAGGAGTAGGAAAACCTCTTCTTGTGACGATTCCACCAAAGATGTCTACGAGTTTGATGAGTTTGATGATTGTGAAGGCAGCCCAAGAGCTTTAAGACACTCAAGAGGATCAGGAGATGCTGCTAAGACTGCATCCAAGGCATCCTGTTCAGATCAGGATCATCAAAACTGTGTTCCAACTACTCCTGAAAAGCCTTTAGGACGTCTAAAGCTGACCTTGAGAATGAAACGTAGTCCAATGTTTGATGATGTTATTGAGTGGAGGAGAAACATGAACGAGGAGTGTTACGAACCTCATTATGAAGTGTTAAGGGTTGAAGGAATAGACGAAGACGAAAGTAGAGAGGAAACAAGAGAAGTCAGTAGTCCACCTCGAAAAAAGAAGAAACACAAAACCAAGAGAAAGCGCAAGCTGAAAGATGAAGCCAAATGCAATGGTACCGAAGAAACAGCCATTCCACTCAAGAGGTTGCGGCTTATTTTGGGTAATGAGACCAGAACAATAGATATTCCAAGCTCTGCACACTAATTCCACAAGTTCTTGTTATTCAGTGTATGGTTTTGCAACCGTCATTGCATTTTATAGCAAATGTATTTATCAACTGTGTCTGAATTTTTTCAAGGGAAGTTGAGGAAAAGATTCAGAGGTTGAACAGAAGACTTACTGCCTATCTTGTCATTTGTTGGACCTTATTTGAAAATTGTGGATATGAATATACTGCCTAGAAAATTATTATCAAAGCAAAAAAAAGTAATTTAATGAGAGGTTGACAGTGGGGCCATCTCCCTGGCTCTTAACTACTCCTTGGTTTTAATAGTTCAAAAGCAAGCTAGTAACATAACTATACCCAAATTACTCTGCTAAGAAAAATGTGGCCTTAATATGTGGGTGGAGTTCCCTTGCATATCAATTAAATTAAAGGAATGTAAAGCTATCACACTTTAAAACTTGGGCCCTTACATTGGCTGAAAGTAACATGGCATTGTCATGTCTAATTACAAAGCATCACTTATTGGACAGTAACTTCACAAACTTGCCACTCAATGCAATGGTGCCACACACATGTGCTGTTTCCCCTATGGGCCGATATGTGGGGTATGTTAAGTAGCCTGGATCATATGCCAATGCCATTATCACTATGTCCTTTTGCTATTTGTTGTTTAAGCTTGGATTTGGTTCCAGTTCTTGATGAAATATTCATTGTTACTGTTTGTGGTTTTCTGCAATTTCTGTTAGCTTTAACACAATTTTTCTTACTTTTTTAAAACAATAATTTTGAATGTTTGGAATTGGAACCTCAAGAATTTGTTTCCTTAATGTAGATATTAAGATGACAATGTTAAGAAACTACATATAGATGTTAAGGCTATTGTAGTTAAGTGGCTTTCTTTTTTCTTTTGTTTATTTTTTAGAACTTTTATTCAAATTATGTCTTGTTATCACAAATAGAATTTTCTATGCATTATTGTTACCTTGTTAATGTAACTGACATGTTCGTCAACTTTCTCTCCCTTTGAAGAGAATATTGATTGCTGCATAACTCACTCTGTTTTATCCAGTTTTCTAAGTTCTTCTTCTTCTTTTTTTCCTGCCACCATTTGCATGCAACGTTGTCAAGTTCTGATTCCAGCATCTTAGCACAATTGTTTTCTGTTGTTTTTCTTTCTTTGTTAAATTATTTGTGAATGTGTGTTTTTTGTGAGGAGATTTGAAATGAATTTTATTCAGAAGTAGAGCTCTCTAATGTCAGCTCTTCTTATCTTTTGTGGGATGTGGGTTGTACCAAAGGAATGTATATTGCTTTCTGAATGTGCAATATCACCTAAATTGAGCTGCTTGTTCACTGCAGTATGTATGCCGTACTGTTGCAATTTAAAATTTAGGTGTCCCTTTCTATTGAATCAGTTCTGAAGGAATCTGAAGATAAGAAAGATCTGTTAGAGGTAGTGTTTAATTTTTGATTCATTTTTAACACTAGTAAATGAAATGTTTCAATTCTTGTATGTTAAGATTTTTTCTAGCAGTATTAGAACTGTTGATAATGGCATAAGTACTATGAGTGCTCCCATTTGTGCTACCTCAAAGCTCTTCAAGCTAGAGAATTATCAAGTGGTCATATTTCCGAAACGTGTGTATATACAAAATTTGCCACCTCTTATAGCTTCCATGTCAGTTAAGTCTGACAGACATTTTTGTGGTGCAGCTCTGAAGAGGGAAGAGAGCTGTACTTGTGTTCAAAGTTGTCTTCTTAACAATTTTGCCTGTGTTTGAAATGCAGCACCCCAAGCTGTATTTGTATATATTAAAAGAAAAAAAAAATATAAGACTGGGGAACAAACAAATCTGAGAGGAACTGGCGAAAATGAAACCCTAGTTGTTTCCAATATACATAAGAAATGTGATAAAATGATTAACAGTTAGTTTATTTGTAAATAAAGTTAATTTGAGAGGAAAAACTGTTGTTGATCATTGCATACTGTTATTTAAAATAAGATTTGTCTCTTGTAAGCTCAGTTTTTTTTGTCTTTTTTTTTTTTGTAGGTCATGTCCTGCGTATGTGTGGCCATATCTCTGAGGCTTTTGGACAGATAAAACAGTAGAGGAGCAATTTAAAGTTGAGGCTCACCTTGATTTTAAAAAATGCACAGTGAGTGGCCTGCCAGTGTGCGTGTAGCTGAGATGTGTTTCCATAGTTATGAAATGGTTTGTTGTGTTCATCTAGATCAATTTTTTTTCCCCCTTTTTTTTAAAAGAGATGTGTACATTAAACTAATGCATGTTAGTTGCTTTCAGTGGAAACTTGTGTCATTAATTTTTGTGGAAATGAAAGTAAATTGAATGAACAAACCATTACACTTTCTGACTATTATTTTTATTTTTTGCCTTTCTAACATTGTTCAAGTGGGGCATTTGATTTTGTTTCCTGGTCCAGAGTTGTATTTGTTGTTGCTTCTAGTTTCTACAAGACTGTGCACTGCCAACAGGTGTAATGTTTTCTGATAGTCGTGTCTCTTAGCTGTCTCTTCATGGTCATACATATAACAACTGATCCCAGAAATCTATTTTTCCCCTTTGGGCTGTTTTTAATAATTACTGTGTGAATTATTTTCAAAAACACCTTTTCCTTTGAGTGCGTGTGTATAAAGAAGTGAGATTTACAGGGACGCCTGTTCTGAAAATCCTTTCCTGTTTACTGATTGACGTATGCCTGGTAAAATCAATAAACAGAGCACAACTGCCAAAGCAAATCCGACTTGACTATTTATTCTCCTTTATCCATACATTTCTGCATTTCTGAATGAAAGTTGAATGAAAAAGACCCACAGTTCACATGTGGTTCTAAAACCTTTTTTTTTTTTTTACACAGTTAAAAGAAACAAAATTGAGATGGCGCGGCGGAAACCCTTGGAGGCAGGGTCCGGTAACTGAAAGTGACTTTTGGAAAGTTTGAAACAGTCTCCGGGATAGTCTTTCCCCGGCTCGTAGCTGACGACGCGTGGTCACCCTAGTCGCTCTGCGGCCCCGGTGCTGCGCGCTGCTTGGGCTTGCCGGGAGCGCCCGCCGCGTAGGCAACCCAACGGCCAGGCCCGCGCGCCGCGTGGCCGATGCCGCTGCCCGCGGGCGCCTCCCGTCAGCACGTCTAGCGGAGCGAGGCGCGGGGCGCGGGGCGCGACTAGCAGTGCGCTAGCAGCGCGGCGGCGGCGGAGCGTGAGTGTGTGTCCCCGCGGCCACCGCCGCCACGCGACTCCACGCTGCCAAGAGTCACCTCGGCACTGTCGCAACAATGCGGCGTCCCGCGGGGGTGCGAGAGGGACAGACACGAACCCCAATGCAGGCCGGCCAGCTAGCCCGGGTTTCACAGCTTGTACCGTGAGAGGAGGAAGGCCGCTGCACAGTGGGCCAGAAGACTGGCGCCGCCGGCCAAAACTCTAGACGCGTTTTTGAGCTCCAGAGTCGCTACATGGGACTCGAACCGGACGTGTGACCCCACCAATAGGTTCCTCGTTCGGAGAGCAACCCATTGGTGGGGTCACACGTTCGGTCACACGTTCGAGTCTGGAGCTCAAAGCGCGTCTAGAATTTTGGCCGCCTCCGGCGGTCTTCTGGCCCACTGTGCGCTGGCTTTTCCATTCTCCCGGTGCAAACCTCGCGCGACAGCCAAGCCGGGTTCTGAAGCAGGCTGGCGCCTTGCCTACTCAGAGTTCACGCAGCAGCAGCAGGGCGGCGAGGAGAGCGCTGTTTGGGGCCCTCCGCCGGACTGCCGCCCGGCCCGGCACGGCTAGGGGCCCAGCCGTCGGGGACCGGGACCGGCGGCGGGGACCGACCGGGACCGACCGGGACCGGGCACTGAGCGGCATTGTGATTACGTCGATAGCGTATCAGTTCCTGGCGGCCCCTTCGGCCCCTGCGGCCCCTTCCCTTGGCACGACGACTAACGGCCTGGTGCGCCGCGCCGCCGCGCCGCCTGGCCGCCTGGAGACCGGACCGGAAATGGACGGTAGGTGTGCGCCGTGCGGGCGTGCAGCGCAGCGCAGCGCAGTGCAGCACGGCCGGGTCGCCGAGGTCGAGCCCCGTGCAGAGAGCGAAGAGCGTCACCCTGGGACCGACCGAGGACCGCCACGGCCTCTTGGCGGCAGACGGCACTGTCGCACAGTGGGCCAGAAGACCGGTGGAGGCGCCCAAAATCCCGGACGCGTTTTGAGCTCCAGAGTCGCTAAACATAGGACTCGAACCGAACGTGTGACCCCACCAATGGATTGCTCTCTGAAAGAGGAATCCATTGGTGGGGTCACACGTTCGGTTCGAGTCCTGTTTAGCGACTCTGGAGCTCAAAACGCGCGCGTCTAGAGTTTTGGCCGCCTCCACCGGTCTTCTGGCAAGTCCACTGCGCGTCGACGGCCTGCTGCAAATCCGAGGCCGTGCTGAAGGCGACGACGGCCACGAGGGAGGCGCGGCGCGCGCGACCCGCGGACCCCTCGGCGACAACGCCGGCAGGCAGGCAGGCACGCCGGCGCGGCGTGGGGCGTGGGGCGGCGTGGCGGTGCGATGCTTGACGTTGCCGTCCGTCCCACGAGACCGTCGCCACCGTCGCCACGCCACGGCCCCTCCCAGCAGGCCCCCGCAGCCCCCGCGCCCCCTTGGGGTAGGGGCGGGGTAGGGGCCTAGGCCCCTTGTTGGCTCCCAGAGGGCCCGAGGCAGCCCGAGGGCCCAGCGGCGGCGGCGCGGCGGAGGGGCGGGGAGGGGCGGTGGAGGCGGTGCGGAGGTGGCGGGGGAAGGGGCCGCAGACGCTGGCTTGGGCTTCGCTGCGTCGCTGGCTTGACGGCTTAGGCGGGGGGCTCCTGCAAGGGGCACCGCCACGCCGCGCTTGAGCCGCCTCGGGAAGGGAAACCTCGCAACCTCGCGCAGACTTCGTACTTCGTACTGCGAGCGTTTGGCTCTGCACTGTCCGGTCTCAAATCAAACCCAAACTCCCGCACCAAGGGGGCAGCGGGCTGCACGCCAAGGATCGGCACCCTTATCACACTTGAGTTTGGATGCGGTCCGACTGCAACGCCTGCATCGTTCTTGTTCTTCGTTTTGATTGCTCGGTGGCGGACACGGCACGGCACGGCACGGCACGGCACGGCACGGCACGGCCCGTGGGCTGCGGCTGCGGCTGCCCAGTGAGCATGCACTTTATCAATCCCATACATTCCTTATCGAGACCCATTACAAAGCAGCCGCCAGCCCCATTCCTGGCCATCGCACCGGCCGGGCCGCTCATTCCGAGGAGCGCTCCGTCTCTCTCGCACCCGCGGGGCGCCCCACGAGGACGGTGAAGACAACTCTCGGCATCACTGGCCCAACACGCTGGGCATGGCTAAGCGGGCCTGCAGCTGCCACAGCTGTGGGGGTTCCCTTCCCGCCGGTTCGGTTCGCACACTTCCGCCTTGGCGGCCGTGCCCTGCCCGTCAGGCCGTCACGCTGGCCCCGGCTGGCCCACGGAGGGCGCCGTGGCGTGGCACTGGCGTGGCGGTGCAGGCGCCGGCCCGAGTGTGGCGCCAGTCTGATAGATAGCTTGTGCAGGAGCGGCGTCGCGGTGGCGTCGCCGCCGTCGTCGCCCGGACGCCGCGGTTGCGTACACCGTAACACTGTACTGCAGGGCGCCACCGCGCCACGGGGCGTGCCGGCTTGGCGCGCCTCCGCCTCTCGAAACCCGGCGGGGCTGTCCACCAACCACGTCACCTCAATCCTCACTTTATCTCGCCAAAACAGTGGCGAGTGGCCTGCGAAGGCACGAAATGGAAAATCGACGTGGGTTTCCGGACGCCCCCTTGACAGCGCGGCGCCGCGGCGTGTGTACAAAGTGGCGAAGCATGGACGCGTGTATCGAGGTCGGGGCCCTCGCGGCGAGGCCGGCTTACATTTGGAGCGCTTTCGTCGCTCTGTCTCTCTCGCACTCATGGGGCGTGCCTTTAGTGTCGTCAGGGGAGCCGAACGATCGAGTCCTGCAGTGTCCCCGAGGGCGTGTCCGTGTGTTGTGGGGCGGTTCGCGCATTGAAATCCCCAGGCCGGTCCGGTGTAGTGACACTCTGACGTCATCGCCCGTCGTCCATTCCAAGGAGCAAAGGAGGGGAGAAAATGCCACACAGATTTTGTATTCTTGACTGTATTGTTTTATTTGTACAATACCTTTTCATTATGCAAAATATAACTTAAATTTGAATAGCTTCAAATATTACACATAAACATATCAATGTGAACTTACAAATTACACAAACTAGAACATTTTTTAATTAAAGCATAAATATTTTTTGTGTTTTTCTTTGCACACACACACTGCACAACGAGACAGCTAGGGCTGTCTGGGTAGCTGAGCAGATGCATTGATATGTAAGATTGGCAGTGTGGCTGGCTGATAAATGCCATGGCACATTTGTGAAACTATGTTTGATTTTCAATTCAACAGTAGCTTCTACCTTTGTACAATATTTACAAGAAAAAAAGGTACGTTTGACAATATACATACTTTAAATCTCATTTAGGAGATGGATTTTGATGGCTCTACTGAAGGTGCATGACTCATAACAGCAAGTCCAACTTGGTGTCATAAATACATTAAAATTTTTTAAAAATACATTTAAATACATTTTAAAACATAGACACAAAGCCAAACATAAAACATTTCTTAAATTTTGTATAAAATACTTTTTAAATTTGAAGTAAAAATGTCATAAACATGGCTAAAATCAAAAACAAATTTGATGCAACCTTCACTAAAAACACAAACCTGGGACCTCCTACAACAAGCAATTGGCAACCTCACTTTGGAGGACGAGATGGAAAAATATAACTAGTAAAAAAACACATGCCGAAGATCTGCAATTATCACAAGGCATAAAGATTCAGTCTTATTTCCAAACGCTGTTGAAGCGCCGGTTTGTCCCTCATCAACTTTGGTCTGTAAGGTATTCCTCGGTACAAACTCACTGCAACTCTGACTACACTGTTGAGAGGGCAGGTTCTTGATAAGCAGAGCGTACTCTGTTACCCAAAAATGACTCACTCATCTTGACTACTACTTCACCGCACGATCCTAGTCTCTCTCCACATGCAACTCCCACATTCACTCACACACTCACTCACACATTCACACACAATATTCCTAGGTTCATTCAAGAAGCGTAAATCACAGCTTTCCCCTGGAGAAACAAGTCTACGTAATACTAGTTAAGCGAATATTCCCCTCGGTGGCGCGCGCTGCGCTGCGCGTGCGAGTACACTGGGCGTACTACGCCACGCGCCGGCCACGTTCACATCCAAACTAGATCCTTACAAGCTAGCTAGCGGTTTAGTTTAAGTTTACTGGTAACCAGGGCTACCGGGCCCGATCAGGTACTGGAGAAGGGGTGGGGGCGGGGGCGGCATACTTCGCACCGAGCGGCTGGGGCGACCGGAGCGACGGCCGGGGGCGGTGGGGGCGGCCCCGGGAGCGGGGCGAGGGGGGCAGGAGTGGGCGAGAGGGCGCTGCGGCGAAGGGGGCGCGCGCGGGGGCGGCGCCGAAGGGGGCCGCGGGCGCGAGGGGGCGGCCGCCGGGACTGTCCCGGACGCCGTCGAAAGGGGTAGGCCGTCGCTCCGGAACCTTCAGAAGTGAATATCCTGCACGTCGGTGGGGGTCTCCGCCTTGGCGAGCTCGCCGTCGGCCGTCTGCTCCAACTCGGCCAGCTTGGAGGACTCGGTGTGGTCGCCGTTGGCCTCGTGCATCATCGAGGTGACCATGCCCTCGATCTGGCCCAGGCACGTCTGGAGGTAGTCCTGCAAACAGAATGACGCACTGTAAGGCCCCGGGTCGAGTGTCCACTGCTCCACTGTCTGGCTCGGCGCGGCTTGACGGCCACGCATACCTTCTCGATGCCAGTGATGTCCTGCAGGCGCGCCAGCAGCTCGTTGAGCGAGACTCCGCTGCGCTTGGTCCACTCCAGGCCGTGCAGGGCCGCGGCCAGGCTGGCGGACGCGATCATGCTGGCCGGGTGCAGCGAGAACTGGTAGTCTGCAACAGCAAAGACAGCAGTCCCTTTAGACAATGGCGGCCAAAGCACTGTCCCTTTCCTTTCGAATGCAAGTTTATTCTGAGCCAAACTGGTTCCTCACGGCTCCGGCGGTGGCGGTGCGGGCCGCGCCACGCCGCGCCACGCCATGCGAGCCGAGCGGGGCGGCTGACCGAGCGCGGCCGAGCCAGGCATCCGGGTCCGGCCACCCGACTGGGGCCCCCAGAGCCCCCGAGAAGTCCGTGGGACCCCAAAGGGGGCCCCAAAGTGGGCCCAGCCAGCCCAGCCAGGCGCCCTGGCAGTCTGGCGAGGCATGTTGTGACTGCCGCCGCCTTGGCCGCCGGGTCAGGCCGCCAGGCCGCCGGCGAGGGAAGGGTGCGGGGAGGGGAAACACTTGCGCTCTCGTACGAGATGGTTATGCCTTATGCCTCGCCGCCTTGCCGGCCCAGGGCCACTTTGCGGTCGGCTGTGCATGCCACGCCGCCGTCCTCTGGCTTTCCTTGGCCTGGCGGGCCTGGCGGGGCGCGGCCGCCGAGATAGTCTTTATCAGGGCGCCGCCCGAGCCCTGGCCGGCGCCGCCACGGCGCGGCCAGAGTCCTGGACACCCCCGTCACCGTGGACCGCCTCCCCGCGCGCCGCGCCGCGACACCATGGGGGCCGTCGAGGCCGCTAACGAGGAGGGGCCTGTGACGTCCGGAAACACGGCGCGGCGCTGCGCGGTCCACCAAAGAAAAGGGTTCTCCCTCCCCTCCCCTCCCGATCGTGCCGAGGTCCGATCTCGCGCGGACATTGCCTCCATTAAGATTACTTATTGGGCGGGTCCAGTCCCGGCCCGGCCGGGCCCGGTCCGAACCTCGTCGACGCGGCGCGCGGCGTCGCCGACAACAAGCGGCGATCGGCTTGGCGGCGTGCTCCTGGCCCGCCGCCCCGCCGCCCCGCCGCGGGCCCCGCCCGTCCCGTCCCGTCCCGCGGTGTTGTGTTGATGGTAATCAGCTGGCCGGCCGCGCCGCGTCCGTCGCGTTGGCTGCGCCGCGGCTGCGCCGGCGGACACCGAGTGCGCCGCGCCGCGCATTTAAACCGCTTTTAAATGCTTTATTCGCACTATCGGCGCGGGGCGTCGCGGGGCGGCGCGGCCCGACTCAGTCGGGCCAGGCCGGCCACGAGCGGGTCGACGAACTCCCCGCCGTGCCGCTCCTGCTGCGCGCTGCGCCTAGCCGCGACTCCACTCCGCGGCCCCGCGGCGCCCAAACCGTCCCGTGCCGTCGTCCGTCCGCCGGGCGCGCCGCGCCTCGCCTCGCGTGCATCCACCTCCTTAGCGTCCACCTGTCACCTCGGCGTCGACCCGTCGGGCCCGTCGGCCGCGAGGGTCCCGACGACGCACCGCTTCCGCTGCGTCTGCCGCCAACCGCCTTGCGGTTTCCCCGTTCGACGGCGTCCTGGCCGCGTCCCGGATGCCCCCATCACGATGAATGGCTGCATGTGGGCGAGCCGGGCGCAGCAATGCGGCGCGCGACGCCTTGTTTCTCAATCAGTGGCGGCAGATACGGGCTCCGCGCTCCGCGGGCTGTGGGGCTGTGGGCCGCGGGGCCGGGCCTAAGCGCCAGGACGGCCAAGGCTGGCTCGGGCCGCGGGGCCGCGGGGCCGCGAGGAGTTGAACGCACTGCCTATCTGGCCAAGGAAGGGGGGGATCCACTATCTATGCTAGGCTCTCTCTTTCTCTCTCTAGCCGCCGTGACGCAACTAAACAGCTGTTATAACATGTCACTCGCGGCGGGCGTGGCGAGGACCGCGTCGTCACCCACGACGGCCACCTCGGCCGCTCCAGGAGGCCGTCCTGCGTGGCGACGACCTCGTCGTCGGGGACCCTTCGGGGACCCGCCACCCTGGCCGAGCCCCCCGGCCCCGGCAGGGCCCCGGCCGCGATACGGCGAGCATCGCGTCGACGACAAGACGACGGCCCACAGTGGGCCAGAAGACCGGTGGAGGCGGTCAAAACTCTAAACGCATTTTGAGCTCCAGAGACGCTAAACAGGAGTCGAACCGAACGTGTGACCCCACCAATGGATTGCTCTCCGAACGAGGAATCCATCGGTGGGGTCACACGGTCGGTTCGAGTCCTGCTTAGCGACTCAAGCTCAAAACACGTCTAGTGTTTTGGGCGCGTCTCTGGCAAATCCACTGTGCGACAACAGCTGAGCCACATCGCGCGATTCCTCATACTCGAGTCCAGCGGGGCAGTGCCGGCGTTGCGGGGCACCCTGTACCGCCAGTGCAGTGCCTTGCAGTGCCGGCCCGGCGACCACCATCACTATTCCTGGAAACGAACAACGAGTCCCGCCGAGTGGTGGCGTCCCGGGCCGCCCCGCCCCGCCCCGCCCGCTCGGGCCAGGAATGCACTGAATAGAGAATTCGGACGCCCTGGCCGAGCCGACCCCGTAGGGCCGCAGGACCCCGCCGGCTAGGCCTCTAGCTGCCGGGCTGCCGGGGCAAGGTCGAGTCAGCGTAACCTGACCGCGCGCGGTGCACGGCCGCGGCGGGCTAGCCTGGCTAGCCTCACTGCGTTTCGAATCTACCGCCACTGCCGCCACGTCCGCCTGCTCCGGCCTGCTCGCTCGCTTCCGGCACCTCCACGCGCCTGGTACTTATTTTCCAGTGGGGGATTCAACTGCGGCCCTTCCCTCCCGCTTTCCCACCTTCAGACCGAATTCCGAGAGTCCCTTCCGTCTCTCTCGCACCTGAGCGGTACGCCACGCACGAGTGCGACGACAACGACTCTCGGACGGGTTGGATACGACAGGAGATAAAGCCTACACTGTGGGCCGTCGGGCTTCGTCAAACAGACGTCCGCCGCGCGCCTTTTAAACGGCCCAAATCGCTCCCGACAACAACTCACCTCGTGCGCAGAGCGCGATGAAGGTCTGCGTGTGCCGCCGGATCATGCCGATGTCCCACGTGACCGTGTCCACGGGCAGCCGCCTCAGGATGTGGTCGAAGAAGTCGTGCGGCGTCACGGCGGACATGTCCCACTTGAGCTTGGACAGCACCAGCAGCTCCCAGCTCTGCGACAAACACAAAGGTGCGGTCAGAGGATCATTGGGATCATCACTGAGATGATCACTGAGACGATCATTGTGATGATCACTGAGATAGTCATTGTGATGACGGTGAGTCCCATCCTGCCGCTAATTCGAATGGAAGGGGTAATGTGGGGGGTGGAATATGATGTATTGTATTGGAGGGTGCCGCCGACGGGACGAGGGGAGCTGAGGCATTTCCGCTGGGTGCGTTGGGCCGCCGGGCCGCCGCTGCTTCTTGGGGTGCAGCAGTGCAGCAGTTCGTCGCTCCGTCTCTCTCGCACTCGTGGGGCGTCCTATACAGGTGCGAGAGAGACGGAGCGACGAAAACGACTCTCGGAATCAGTCCGCTGTGCAGGTAGGAGGGGAACTAGAACGCCGCAGAGGAGGCCTGGAGGCCTGGAGGCCTGGAGGACCTCGTGCAGTGCAGGGCCAACTTTAATATCAAGAAAAATAAAACCCGGTGCATGGCGCCTGCCCGTAAAACAAATCAATTAAAAATGAATCAATTAAAAAATTTTTTTTTTACTATATTGTGTTTGTGATTTTGTTTCTTCCAGCGCGACTCCGGTGTCAACGTGCTCCGCGAATCGTGGCCTTCTCGGCGTTGGTCGGCGGAGGAGGGGGGGGGGCGGCGCGGTGCGGCATAATTTAAAGGAAAGCCCGTCTGACGCTCGTCTGGACCAGTACCGGACCAATACAACATGCGGCGCGGACAAGGTCATACCCCTCCCCCCTCTCCCGCTCCGGCACGGATCTCCGGCGGAACCGCCCCCCCCCCCTCTCCCGGCGGTCCAATGGGCCGTATAAAAGCAGAACCTGATTCACATACGCAGTACCCTTGCCTCATTCAGTTCACAGCGAGTTGCGCCGCACGAGCGGACGGACAGACAGACAGACAGACAGCGCCAAAGGGGTCCGATCACCCGTGAAAGCGATGCTGCGGGCGGCTCCCCCCCCCCCCCCACGCCGTTCGTTCAAAACAAAATTTCGACAGGATTTCCCGCGCCAGGAAGTCAGCGAGTCCTTATCAGCGTGCCGGAGGACGGCCGCTAGGGCTGCCAAGGCAAGGCGGGGCAGAAAAAAAATGAAAACATCTGGGCGTTCGAACCAGCGACCGCGACGTGGGCGGTCCGAAGCAGGCCGAGCCAGTAATTGCGGAAAGGGTAAAGGAAACTCGCATAGGGACTCATCACTACGTGAACGTATCAGGCGAGTGCGTGTGCACTTGGGTGTGTGAGAGAGACAGGGACAGGGGGGGGAGGACTAAAGTGTAGACGCGCTTTGAGCTCCAGAGTCGCTAAACAGGAATCGAACCGATCGTACTATTTAGCGACTCTGGAGCTCAAAACGCGCCTAGAGTTTAGGCCGCCTCCACCGGTCTTCTGGCAAATCCACTGGGAGGGGAAGAAATGTGAGCTTACCCATAGGTCGGCCTCCGTGAACGAGTGGTCCGTGTAGCTGACGAGCTGACTGGCGGACAGGTGCTCGGGCTCGCGCAGCTTGGAGGCGAGCAGGAGGCAGGCGGTGCCCAGGAGCTGCAGCTGCGTCTTGACGATGGGGCACACGCTCAGGAACCTGTCCATGTAGTTCATGGACAGGGGGAAGACGTCCTCCTGGCACTTCTGGGCCTCGCACACCTGGAAGCAGAGCAGCAGGGCGTTCCGTCCAAGCGCGTCACGGGACCGTCCAGGACCGTCCGGACCGTCCAGGACACCGTCCAGGACCTCCGGACCCGTCCAGGACACCGTCCAGGACGCCGTCCAGGACACCGTCCAGGACACCGTCCAGGACACCGTCCAGGACACCGTCCAGCACACCGTCCAGCACACCGTCCAGGACGCCGTCCAGGACACCGTCCACGACACCGTCGGGACGCTAGGGGTAATCCTGGCAGCACAGGCAGACCAGAGCACAGCGAAGCTGGCGGTTCGTAATGGTGGCCAGGGTGAGGTTGGGAGGGACACTCACACACACACACACGCGATGAAAAGCAGCGGAGCACAGGATTTACGCGGAAAGCTCTCGCAGGAGGCGATGACCTACTAGTGTCCTAGTGGACAAGCCCTCGGCCTTCAGGAACACCCCCACAATGGCGGCTAACGGGACGGCCGCCGTCTCTCTCGCACTCACGGGGCCGTCGCACCTCTAGGCCGCGCACCGACAGTGCGCCGACAGACCATCATTATCCGCACTGCGAGGCAGAGCGTCGCGCGTCTCTCTCGCACCCCTGCGGGCCTCGCGGGCCTCGCGGGCCGCCTTGGGAGTGCGAGAGAGACGGAGCGACCAAGGTCGAAACCCTGTCGGCCGGGCGGAGCAGGGCGCAGCGGACCCTGGATGCATTTGGCCATTTCCACGCCCCCCCTTTCCCCCGCATTTCCTTTACAGATACCCCCCCCCCCCTCTCTGAGGCGCTACCTTTCCAGGCGACACGACAGTGTAGTTATCACGCCGACCTATCACCCCCTCGGAGGGTTCCCTATGCTCGTTCATGTTTAAAACATGCGGTATACACAGTGCCGCAACTAGGCGTGGAAACAAGTTAGGCGGCGCGTTGTATACCTCGTCCTTCCGGTGGTGCGGCACCACGGCGCACCACGGGGCACCACCACGGGCTGGCGCAATAACCCATCAACACCGCATGCATCAGAAGCGCGTATGTGGTCTGTGTGCTGCTCCCCACCTGCACCCCCCCACCTCTTTCCCATTATTACTACCACGTTGGGCTGCCCGGACGGGAGGTGGGGGTGGCGTAATTCTTCACACATCTCACCACATCAAGCCCCCATCCCGCATCCCCGCCCTGCGCCTGCCTCTCATTCGTTCACGTGTCGGTCTTTTTCTTGTTTCTCTCCCGTTTTTTAAAGTCATTCATTTATTTATTTCTTCACCCCTTCTCCTCTCGGTTTTGCTTTCACGATTTCTCCCGGCGCGTTTTTCCATTTCCTCGACGCTTTCTTTCTGTCTTGGTTTTCTTCGTCTCCTTCGCGCGGCCCCCTTCCATGACCTTCGCCTATGTGTCGTCGAGAAGGAAGGGACAAGTCAGCAGCGGTGGAGGCGCCCAAAACTCTCGACGCGTTTCGAGCTCCAGAGTCGCTAAATGGGACTCGAACCAAACGTGTGACCCCACCAATGGACTCCTCGTTCGGAGAGCCATCCATTGGTGGGGTCACACGTTCGGTTTGAGTCCCATTTAGCGACTCTGGAGCTCGAAACGCGTCTGGAGCTTTGGCCGCCGATGCCGGCCTTCTGGCAAGTCCACTGTGCGTCGCTGGACGTGAGTGCGAGAGAGACAGACGCAGTGTCGCCGTTTCCGCACGGTCCCCCAGAAATCAAGTGACGGTGGCGTCTGCCAGCGAAATGCGAGAACCAGGAGGGAGAAGGGGGTCTTTGTGTCGGCGAGGGCAGGCCGAGGCAGGCCGAGGCAGACGGCAAAGGGCGGAAGGGCGTCGCGAAGGACGCGCCAGCTGTCTCTCTCGCACCCATGCGGAGTGGCCGAGCGCCCCGCGGGTGCGAGAGAGACAGAGCCTTCTTGTCGCGATCCGAATCGAAGAACGGTGTCACCTTTAGCGCGGCGAACAGCGGCCGGTGTAGAGTGGCATCGGGAAGAGCGGAAGACTCACACACACGTACGCCAATATCGCCGTCCACGTGCCACAGTGGGCCAGAAGACCGGCGGAGGCGGCCAAAACTCTAGACGCGTTTTGAGCTCCAGAGTCGCTAAACAGGACTCGAACCGAACGTGTGACCCCACCAATGGATTCCTCGTTCGGAGAGCAATCCATTGGTGGGGTCACACGTTCGGTTCGAGTCCTGTTTAGCGACCCTGGAGCTCAAAACGCGTCCAGAGTTTCGACCGCCTCCACCGGCCTTCTGGCCCACTGCAACGCGTGCAACAGGTGTCCGGGGTGGGTGACGGGCTGACTCCGGGGCGCCGCCCGCGGCCAGGGGCTTTCTCCGGCTCTGTCTCTCTCGCACTCACGGCGCGGCCCGCGGCGGTGCGAGAGAGACAGCTGAGAGAGGCGCAGGGGAAGCCCAGGGCTGGCAGGCCACTGGCAGGCCACTGGCACCACGTGCGCCGTGCGCCCCGCACGGCTGACGAGTGGCAGTGTGGCAGTCCGAACGCGGAACGCCGCAGCTGTCTCTCTCGCACTCACGGGGAGTGGCGTAAGGCGCGTGGGGGAGCGAGAGAGACAGAGCGACGAAGCGGCAACCAGCCGGCAGCAGCAGCACGGCTGTCCGAGGTGTCTCACACTGTACGTGGCGGGGGCCTTTTAAAAAGTTTAAATCACTGGTTCGGTCCCGGGCGGCCGGCGGCAGCCCGCACGGCTCCACTGCGTTGCCGGAGGCCACGGCGCGCCGGGGGATGCTCACACAGTGGAGGCGACCCGAACTCTAGACGCGTTTGGCGCTGCATAGTCGCAAGGTGGGAACCGAACCGAACGTGTGACCCCACCAATGGATTGCTCTCCGAACGGGCAATCCATTGGTGGGGTCACACGTTCTGTTCGAGTCCCATTTAGCGACTCTGGAGCTCAAAACGCGTCTAGAATTTTGGCCGCCTCCACCGGTCTTCTGGCAAGTCCACTGTGTGGCCTGCCCGGCCCCCGCTTCCGCGAAGAGCGACAATGCGCTGGGCTGCTGATCCTCCCCAAGCGGCCAAGTGCGTGGGGGAGGGGAGGGGGAGGGGGAGGCAGCCGGCCACCACCTTGCCGACAAGCCCCCCATCAGCTGGGTCAACAACACCGCCTCGGCCGGCGCTTCGTACGCTTACGCCTCACACTTGGAACCGCGGTCCGGGGCACTGCAAGTCCAGGATGCCGGCGACCGGCACCAACCGGGCCACCGGGGGCTCAGATGCTATCTCAACAGGATGTCGGTCCTGGCAGTGTCCTGGCGGTGTGCGTCCTTACCTCGAGCATCCAGTTGGAGACGATGGTCCTCATCGGCGCGGTCACGTCCTTCTGCACGCACGAGAAGTAGGCCGTGCTGGGGGTGTACTTCTCCTCCTGGCCCAGCATGTTGAGCAGCACGCGGTCATCGTTCAGCAGCACGGGGTCGATGATGGCACGGCAATTCTCGATGCCGGATTCACAACACAGTAGATCCATCTTCACATTCACTGGCGGACGCCAAAATCACTCGCGACACATAGATTCGATATCCCTCTTTTATCACAGAAGCAAGACAGTCGCGACACGGCACTGGGCGGAGCGGGGGACTTTTTCTTCTTATTAATCGACACGGACGAGGGCTTGCCTTAACTTAATTAAAATCACACTTGGTTCACTAGTTTGGGGTTGCAGTCTTGCGATTGGTTCGTGGTGACGGTGGCCGCAGTCCGCAGTCGGCCCGATCACGTCGCTCGCTTGGCGCTCCGCTCCGCACTCGACCGCAGCAGGCAAGAGAGTGCGAGGGGGTGACTCGTCTGGGCCTCGGACTGGCGGCCGCGCCGAGCCGAGCCGAGCCGGTGCTGCCAGCTCGGCCGTCCCGCCAGCCCAGCCGGCAGCCGGCAGCCGGCACCGCCATTGGTCGCTGCACTCGGCTTGCTTGGTTGGGCCTTGCTCTGCCTTGCTCGCCGGCACCCCCTCCTCCTCCACCGTACGCCTCTCTCGCCCGCCTCTTCAACTCGCCGCGCAGAGGGCGCCGTCGTCGCCTTGTGGACACCGAGCGACGCGGCCGAGGGCCGACGTGGTCCTGGCTGCCAATTTTCCTGTCTGGGCCCTGTCCGCCACCCGCGACCCCCGCGACCCGCGGACGGGGGCTGTCTCGTCAAGGACTCCTCGCCGCGGGACCGCGGAGGGTGGTCGACGACGACGCACCGAGAGAAGGACACTTTACTCGGGACTCCCATGAGTGCGGGGGAGTCAAACGGAGACACCTCGGTATCAGTCTAGCAAAACGCGCCAGCCGAAAAGGCGTTTGCCTGCTTGCCAAGGCTTGCCCACCCCTCCGTCGAACCTAACCTAACCTAACCACACCACTGGCACGGCCGGCACGCCGAGGGAGGGGAGGCAACTTGTTGCGTGGTGAGGCAACCACGAAGCGGACTAGAGACTAATCATTTGAACCGTTCTGCGATTCCGTGCGTCGCTCCGTCTCTCTCGCACTCACGCATGAGCCAATGGATATAGGTCCGTGCCAGTCCGTGCAGGGCGTACGGTGTCGCACAGGAATGTGGAGGAGGGGGAAGGCGACACCATGAATAATTTTAATTTCATAAGGACGCGAGGCTTCGGCGCTTGGCTGCCAGTTCACAGTGTTCACAACGGAGCGGACGCTTTTTTCCACACAGGCCTGCCGATGCTGAAGGCGTTCGACGCTTGGTGCCGTGGCGCCCTGCCCGTCGAGGGGGTTGGCGTGCAGCCCAGGCGAGGGTTGGCGCCCTTGGCAGCCTTTGGTGCTGCCGGCAACGCCACAGCCTGCCTGCCTCACGGCCTTCGCCGCGGCCTCGGCGGGGTCCCTCCACTTCCCTCCGGCCTCTGACGCCGTGCCTCCGCCGTGCCTCCGCCGTGCCTCCGCCGTGCCGCGGGGCGTGGGGCGGCGTGAGCGTGGCTGGGACTCGTGCTATGCACGCCTCATGTCGAGATCCAAATCTCGAAACCTGTAGCTGCAACAAGAGAAACAAGCGAGACGGTCCGAGGCGAGGCGAAGTTGGGCCCATGAATTTGGGAACCGGCCGCCCCGCCGCGCCGCCGCGCCGCCCAAGCTCGGCCGGCCAGCACCAAAACCGCCTGCCCAAGGATAACTGCACGCAGAATCCTTTGTTACTGGACCGGCCCACCTGTAACCCGAGAAGAGGCGGTGGAGGGGAGGGCCCTGGCCGCCCTGGCCGCCGCCCTGGCCCTACCGGGGCCCAGGCTGCCCAGCCCGGGCCCACCAAACAACACCCCTCCCTCCCCTCCCCTCCGCGCGGAGAATGAAAGAGATGCCCGGGGAGCTTCCGGGCCGCGCCGCCAGGGGCGCTGCGCTCAACAACAACAACAACAGCTGGCCGGCAAGCAGCGCCACAGCGCCGCCCTACGCCTCGTGCGTCGTGCCCTTCTGGGCGTCGGGGCCGCCGGGGCCGTATGGAAATCTGGAAACGGGCGGCCGGCCGGCCAGGGTGTCGACCGTGACGCCGTCGTCGACACGTTGGAGGCGGCCAAAACCCCGGACGCGTTTTGAGCTCCAGAGTCGCTAAATGGGACTCGAACCGTACGTGTGACCCCACCAATGGATTGCTCTCCGAACGACGAATCCATTGGTGGTGTTCACAAGTGCGGTTCGAGTCCTAAATAAATTGGTGGATGAGGGATGCCGTGCGAGCGAGGGATCGTGACAAAGAAAGTACTGTAATAATGAAAAGGAATTTATGAAGATGAAAATGAAGGCAAAACAAAAGGGGACGCGAGAAAAACAAGAGTAATACAAAACGTCGGTGGAAAAAGTGGCGGGTCCCTTTAGCTTTGGGCGAAGGGACTGGAGGGAGGGACGGAGCACTGCCGAGGCCTACCGAGGGTGAGTCATCGCTCTCTACCCGGGACGAGAAATCGCAGAAAACCTGAAAACGAGGAGGCGCCGGGGAAGCCCTACGGGCTCCACCTGCCCAGCACCTGGAGAGTGGATGTGTGTGTGTGTGTGTGTGTGTGTGTGTTTTCCGTGAGTAAATGTGTGTGCAGTGCCGTAGAAATGGGAATTATGGCTTCGGGGAGATGCTGGTTGCTGCTGTGTCCTCAGTAACAAGCATTCTTCCGAAGCCACTGTCCCGAAAACGTCCTCGGAAAGTGTCTGTCCGAGAGTGGACAGCAGTTTGCGACAAATCTCGCGCGTTTTACAGGGCACGCTTTCCCCGGGGTTCTTTTCTTCTTCATTTCCAGGGTGTATTGTGAAAGTTGCAGCCAGGCTCAATAAAATTGTCCCATTTTTTCCACTCTCGGTAAAAGTGTATTATAGACTCCTCCGCGCGCGAGCGAACCAGAGTGGATGCGCGTACGTACATGCAGAGGCCGATGGTCTCACTTCAATTGCTGAAGAAATGAATGAATGGGACGAATATGTATGGCCATGAACCCGCATCGGACGCTGAGGACATTCTCTCTCTCTCTCTCTCTCTCTCTCTCTCTCTCTCTCTCTCTCTCTCTCTCTCTCTCTCTCTCTCGCACACACACGCACTGAGAGAATTAATTGGGCAAGGAACACGTTAGGGAATGAATGGTAGCATAGGAGGTAATGAGATAATGGGAAGCAAGGTGATGCCCGGGCGACGGGGAAAAGGGAAGGGGGAAGAGGAAGGGAGGACAGGCGTGAATCAGAGCAGGCAGCGCCCCTGACGCCTGGAATCCTGGAGTCCTGGAATCGCGCCCTTGATGTCGCTGGGAACGAATCGGACCAACCGGGAGTGCGCCGAGACGGCGTGGACGGCGCGGCACACGAGAGAACAAGAAGTAAACTCCCAATTGGGGCATTTGGTCCTCGTCTACGTGGTGGCCAGCGGGCCACTGCCGGCCTGGGCCGCGAGCCCGCGGGCCGTCTGGCGAGGCGCGGGGGAGGGGAGGGGAGGGGGGGGGAGGCGATCCCAGACACCCAGACCTTGCCGAACGCGGTCCCGGGTGGGCCACCTTCTGCCCCGCCCGCCCCGCCGCCCCCGCCCGCCCCGCCCGCCCCGCCCCGCCCCGCCCCGCCCGCCCGCCCGCCCCGCCCCCGCCCCGCCCCGCCCGCCGCCGCCCGCCCGCGCGACCTGGCCCAGGCTGGCCCCGGCTGGCTCAGGTTTCGGACCACAACAAAGCCTACCGCACCGCGGCGGCGAGGCGAAGCGAGGCGAAGCGCGAAGCAGACGAATAAGAAGACGAGGGCCAAATCTGTGATGCGATGTGTTGCCGTCTGGGCGGCGCGGCGCGTCCACTGCGACGTGACGACGTGGCGACGCCGTGGTTCATGGTCCCGGGGCGGCCCGGGGCGGCCCTCGTGGACACCGACAGCGAGGCCCACAGCGCCGCGACCCCGCGGCGTTCCTTGTCCTGTTGCCGCGTTCTGAGAATCGCGTCTGGGACTCCGAGGCGGCCCGGTGCTAGTCCGCTGGTGGTCCGGCCCGGCCGGCCATTGGCGTGGCTTCTCTCCCATTTCCGCGCTGGCCCACAGTGGGCCAGAAGACCGGTGGAGGCGGCCAAAACTCTAGACGCGTGCAGAGCTCCAGAGTCGCTAATCAGGACTCGAGCCGAACGTGTGACCCCACCAATGGATTCCTCGTTCGAAGAGCAATCCATTGGTGGGGTCACACGCTCGGTTCGAGTCCAATTTAGCGACTCTGGAGCTCAAAACGCGTCCGGGATTTTGTCCGCGTCCGGCGGTCTTCTGGCCGTGTGCAGTGTGCTGGCCTGCCTGGCCCCAGGCAACCGCAGGGGTGCGAGAGAGACAGAGAGACTCGGCGATGAGCGCAGCGGGCGCAAGCTTCACTGCTTCGCTGCCGCACGCCACCACACTGGACCAAACCGGGTGAGCCCGGCAGCCCGGCCGGCCGATTCCTCTGTCTCTCTCGCTCCCGGCCGGCGCCCCGCGGCGGCGCGAGAGAGACAGACAGTCGGCCGACAATCGACAGGTCGACAACCGACGCTTCTGGGAGGAACGAGGGAACGAGGATCGGAGGGACTCAACTGATGAGGGGTCCCACATAAATTACACTGCTGGTCCCCTGGTCAGCCTCCCTCCAGGACTGCAGGACTCCAGGGCCTTCTCCAGGACGAAAGCCCTTTCCAGGAATCGGCCCTACACGCGCTGCGCCGCGCCCCACCCTGCGCGATGCAGGTATAGTCGGCTGGGTGACTGCAAACGGGGCTTGTTATTAAAGCAGCGATTTAAACGCCATTTAAAGGTTCGGCCGCCCCGTGGTCGTCGCGGTGGTCGTGGTCGCCGGCCAGGTCACCCAGGGCAACCTTAGCGCCCCACCCCCGGGGTGGACCCCGGCGAACCTCGGCGAACCCACCCCAGCCGTGGGAGCGTCCGACGGCGGCGCCCTGGCCGCCCGGGGACTCCTTGACGGCGTCCTGGACGCTGCAGCCCCTGACGCCGCCCTGCCCTGCCCAGCCTCGGTCGTGCCCCGCGGCGCCGGGGCCAGGCTGCGAGCAGTCTGTCTCTCTCCCACTCACGGCGCGGCCTGCAAGGGAGCGAGAGAGACAGAGAGGTTTGTTCTCGCCCTGGGCGCCGCACTCGTCGCCCCTGTAATGAGCAAAGGCTCGGCGGCGGGGCGCGGCGGGGCGCGGCGGGGCGGTCAAGCAAAGCAACGATCAGTAAGTATCAGGAACGCCCCGCCCCGCCCCGCCCCGCCCGGTAAATAAATGAATGAATGCATAAATAAATAAACACCTTGCTTCCCCCAAGCCCGCTCCGGTGTGGCCTGTAGCTCCAGCATTCGGCTTGACCCGCTGCTGTGGAATGTTTATAACGTTTTTGTTTGTTCCAATTGAATCGGAGTCTCAT